CCTCACATGAATGAATCACCCCAGGGATGCCCAGGGAGAAAGAAGTAAGTGGAAAAAAGGTCCCTCTCAGTCCCTTCTTCCTGCTCTTCTCCCACACTACCCCCTCCTCTACAACACATTCCATACACTGCTTCAAAGTTCCCCCTTTATTCTAAATGTGTTAGAATAAAGCATTAAAGAACCAAAGCTCAACATTATTCTTTTTATCAAGGGGAACAAACTTTCTCTCACGTTCAGGAACTGTTTGAGATCTGCTCCATTCCCAGATTGCAGAGCACACTGCACACAGCCTGAGAGGAATCTTCTGTAACTGGGCAGGACCATTAAAATGTCAGCTCTGAGTGCACAACCAAACAAGAATCACACCTAAAATACTGTTATTAAACAGCCAGTTGATGTGTTGCTTTACAGCATTCACACCTGTAGTGCCAGGAAAGAACAAAACCAGAATATCTCAGCCTGAGGAGGAGTGACCCACAAGGTGGTGGAGGAACCTCCCTGTTGAAATTTTCCAGAGAATCTGTCTTTTCCAATGCTATTGTAAAGAAATGCTTATCAGAAAACACTGGAGCCTGACAAGTACCCCACTGAAACATGACTCCATAAAACAAAACAGAGTCACACTGACCCAAAACCCCCAACGACTTGAAAAAGCAGAGAACTGTTAGGAAAGCAAGCAACAGAAGACCACAAAGAAGGACTACAGCTCTGCTGCAAGACAATGAAAATCCAGCTGGCCTAAACCAGAAAATATGCATCAGTCGTTTCAGGGAGAAAATTTCACTAAAAGCACAAGCAGGAATTGGTGACATTTAAAGGAAGTATTGTAAAGGAATTAAGTTTCTCTGACGGGACCCTAATAGTAAAACACAGGCAGTTACTTCACAGCAAAAGTTTTCTAAAGTTTTTGGTTCGTTTTTTAGCTATTACAGCAAAAATTCTATGCACTAGTGCTATCGTGTTCTCACACGAGGGCTTTCCTTAGAAGGAAGAATATTTATTTCCTTTGTGAAAGTGGTTCTTCAAAGCCAAGTCCTGGAGGATCACACGTCAGACTTGAACTGGATAAGCTGCTGGGTGTTATCAGCAGCCTGAAGCCCACGTCCCATGGGTGGTATGCAATTCACAGCTGGGGAAATGCCTCACGTGCTGCCCAGGCTCTTGAAGATGCCTGAAAGCCTCCCAGAGCCTCAGTTCCCCCCTCTCAGACCCACCCATACTGAGCTCCCCTCCCAGACACCTCAGGACTGGCCCCAGCCATACCTGGACTCCTTTGCATTCCCCTTTTCAGCCCTTTTCTTTCGTCCTTCAAAGCTTAACCAGCATTTCCAGACCTTCTGTTCTGCTGTTTCTCACACACATACACACCCCCCTTTCCCTTTTACTCCAAGGCTGTTCCAGTTTGCCTCATGCAAAGTTTATGACCTTAGAATCACACAGATCAATCCCCCCAAACTTATCTTAAGTAATCAACACACTAATCTTCATTAATTACAGCAGGGTGAGACAAGATGGATATTTCAAGACCACAGTTTTAAAAATAATTTGTCTTGTCACATTAGAGCACTCCAAAGTGAAACACACCTCATTAACACCAGCTGTAATTTTAATTTTGAAGTTTCATTAAAAAAAAATCTTTTCTTTTTCCCCTTGTTTTAATCACTGTTTCAACCAAATTCAAGGATGAGGCCAAAATGGTTTATTCACAGAACACTGCAAGACTGGAATCATATCAGACCAAACCAGCAATTAACCTGCAAAGCAGTACTTGTGAACTGAGTGTGTCCTATTGCCCCCACCCCACATCTTAAAGAGTTTTTTTGAGGGCAGAAGGGACAAACATCTAAACCCCTCTTGCCGTAACATCATCTAAAGGTACACAAACAGCAGAAGAGAAGATACCCACACAAAGCCAGAGGCACAACAAGCACAACTTCAAGCTTCTTCTCAGTGAGTTTGGAGCCTATCTTTACAAATTCTACTTAACTTTCAGAATTACTTGTTCATCCTACCAGCCAGAATTTCAGATTTCACAGGTATCAAGGCACAGCACCTCCTACAGTGTAGATCCACAGTCCCCATATAAGTTTCCAGCACTGCTTTCAGCCACAATACATAAAAAATCTACCCAGAACCTGGAATGTGATGAGGCCTGGGGAGCAGGAGATTGCCTGCAGCAGGTTACTAATCCACTGCTGTGGCCCAAAGGCCGAGGAAGGGTAGGAAACACTAATAACAGACATATCACCCAGCTCCAGGAGGACCAGCACGACACAGATTTTGTCAGGCCCAGCAGAGCCAGCCCCAGCACAAGGCTCTGTGATGAGGTTCCCCAAGCTGCTGGAAATGTCATCTTTCATGTATGATATAAACCCCTTCTGTAGCCACTAACAATACTCTGGCATTGTTTGAAACACGTAGGGTGTTGCACTGGCTGACAGCCAATTCCAGTAATAATATGTTATTTACCTACAGTAACCACAAGAAAATATTCTTCATTTTCAGCCCCGAGTGGTTCTGCAGCGCACCCAGCTCCTGAGAGAGCTGCCACACTTCCCTGCAAATCCTGCACCTCAGCATGCAGTTATCTGTCTGCACAGATCAGGCACTGCTCCAGAGCTGTAGAAACACCTTGAGATCACTGGGAATAAAGGAGCTTCTTTCACACAGCACAGTTAGTCATATCAGCAGCGATAGCTATTTTGAGCAGCACCCATTAATCACTATCATTAGCAGGATTTCTGGTGTACCAGCATTCATTGTACCAAGAACAAGTCTTTTCCTATTCCAATACTACTACATAAACAAAAGCAGCAGCACAATTTCTCTTGCCTCTCACTACTCAAAACAGGGTTGTGTCAAGTGGCAAGCACTCAAAATAACTGTCGGTGCCAGGTATAAAGGAAAGCTTACTTCCACCTTGCAGGACAGAAAAACACAACTGTTTCACTGCAAAAAAAAAAGACTGGCTGTCATTTGTATGCTGGGGAAGAAGAGGTGTTGGAAATAATAAACAGTGGGAAGAAGAGAGAAATAAAACTCTCGAGTTGGAGACAGCAGATCCACAGAAAAACAAGATCCAAGTGATCGCATCCAAGTTGAGGCCCAAGAAGTAGAAGAAACCTACACTTATCTTTTAAATGTTTGTCAAGAAAAACCTTGAGCAAGCTTTGAGAGTGGAAAACCAGGCATTCCTTACAGAAGGGCCCAGCTTATCTTCTGTAGAAACACTGCCTGGTAGAAGACTCCAGCCAAGTGCAAAATCATGTTGATACCCACGATACACAAATAGCACCTGTGCACATACCAAAACCGGCCAACACTGCTGACCCCATGAGCTGCATTCCAAAACCTCCATGTGGCCGGGAGCCACGCGACACACACCACATACCTCAGCGAGGTGAGGGAACGGCAGCTCCGGCCGCCCTCGCCCACAGAAAACAAAAACAGTTCCTCAAGAGCACCACTGCCTCTTTGCCCTGAGCACCGGCCTGAGGGAACAGAAACGGCAAGCAACAGTGACCCTAAAATCCACAGTCTCCAGGTTTGAGGTTGTCCACCAGCCACCCCGGCGGTTCCAGATGCAGTGACATTTTGGGAACCAGCCGTGTGAGCCCCCGAACCACTGGATGACCCACGAAACACCGAGTTTACTGCGCTTACACGGCACTGGGGTACCTGCTCTTACCCAGACACCTGCTCCTCCATAAGAACAACAACGGTAACAACAATGGCCGATTTATACCCGTAATAAGGTTTATAATCTCTCATAAAGCAAACAGACGAGATCCTCCAACCGCTTTCAAATTCCCAAGCCAACATCCACCCGACAAACACGTACTTGCACCGCCTTCCTCTCCGCTCACACCACAAAACCCCTCGAGCAGGGAGAGGCAAAGGAACACCAGCAAAGTTTTAAGCTACAGCCCAAAACGCGTTATCCTCTTCTGCTGGCAGCTACCATATGCACACAGCATAAGGCTCGGCAACCACAAGCGGCACTTCCAGCTTGCATCAGGTGAACAATCTGTGCGGGCCGCGCTGCGGGGCCGGGGGCGCCCTGCCCGGGGAGCTCCGGCCGGCACCGCCCGGAGGCCGCACGGCGGGGCCGCCCCGGGGCCGGGGGGCGGCGGGGCCGGGTCCCTGTGGATCGGGAAGGTGCGCAGGAATTCCCGCAGGCGCAGTCCCGGCCCCGCCGCGCTGCCCGGGCTGCCCGCACACGGGGCACGGCGGCGGGCGGCCGCGACACGGCCCCGGGCCGCCCCCGACACCGCCCCGGGCTGCCCCCGACACCGCCCCGGGCTGCCCCCGACACCGCCCCGGGCTGCCCCCGCCGCCACAGCCGGCCCGGCCCCGCCGGGGCAGCGCGGCCACAGCCCCGGGCACGGCCGCCCTGCCTCCCCGGCCGGGGCTCCCGGCCCGCCGCCGCCGTCCCCAGAGCGGCCCAGGCGCTGCCCCGGGCGGCCGCCGCTCCCCGCCGCCCTCCGCGCCCCGTCCCCGCGGCGCCCGGGGAGGGCGGAGCGGCGGCACCGCCGAACGCGCCAGCCCTGAGCCCCGCACGGCCGGGCCCACCGGGAGGGCGGCGGGAGCGGCGGGGACGGGCGGCGGGGCCGGGCCGGGCCCGGGGCTCGGCGGGGTCGGCGCGGCGCTCACTCACCTGCCCGCGACAGCCCCTGGCCCCGCGCCGAGCGCTCCGGAACGGCGAGGCTTCCGCCGGGGCCGGGGAGGGGCCGGAGAGGGGCGGGCGGAGCCGCGAGTGACAGCGGGAAGGGGAGGGCGGGAGCGGCAGCAGGCGGCGCCGGCGGAGGGCTGAGGGGACAGGGCTGAGGGGACAGGGCTGAGGGGGGGGCTGAGGGGACGGGGCTGAGGGGACAGGGGCGGCAGCGGTGGCGAGGGGGGACCCGGGCACGGGGGGTCCGGAGAGGGCCTGGGGCGGTCCCGGCAGGGGTGACACGGACCGCCAGGGACGGGCCCGGCCGTGAGGGGAGCGCGGGGGAAAGAGGCCGCGGGGCGGCCTGGCACGGGAGAAGGGGAGGAAATAATCAGGGAATGTTTTATGTGTGCTTAAAATTTTGAGGTTTCTCACTGCGTTGTTTTGCGGTCCTGCCTCAGGAGAGCCTCTGGAAATGGAAATGGAGATCCCCGGCGGCACCTGCGAAGTTCTCCGTTGTTCCTCCCATCCAGAGCCGCCCGCTGAGCAAGCTGCAGGATGGAACTGCTGCTGCTGCTCCGTGGATTTATTTAGGAATTAGGTAAAATGCACAAACATTATCTCAAATGGATCCCTTGGACATGACTGTCGTGGAGCTGCCAGCTTTAGCAATTGTTCAGAAATAGGCCTGGTCTGTGATGGCTTTGCTGTGCCAGTTTAAACTGGTTTGATATTATTTCTCAGGCTTAATGCAGATTTTGTACAGAAAAGTTTGCTGTGTAGTATGATGTGTTTTCAAATCCTCTTTCCATAGAAATAGTCTTCTGTTAATCTTTCTTTCTTAGTAAAAAGTGATTGGTTTTTATTTACAGGACTTATTTAGAATCTTATATTTTACATGGAACAAACATTTTAAATATACAGAAATGTCTGGTAGAAGTTAGGAAATAAGGCAATGTGTATAGTAGGAGAGTAGTTAAAAACTGTTGGATTATATGCAGGCAAAAATTTTGCCTACAGGGCTCAGCATCCAATCATCTGCCTCTAGTTCCCCCCTCAAAGAAACCCAAACCCACACACTTGGATTACGATACTCATAAAGTGAAAATAACAGTAATTTCAGTGCTGCTAATCAGAAAACTCTGTGGGAAGAAGTGAAATTGTCAATTTATTGCACACCTTCCAGCCACAAACTAGAAATAGTCCTCAAGTAGTGTCTGCGGGGAGCTGCCTGGGAGCAATCTGTGGCTTTGTTTCCCTCTCTGGAACAGATGGTTGCTGGCAGACTGGGCTTCTCATCAGTGCCTCCCTCTGAACTCTCCTGATTCTTGCATGTCTGCTAAGTGTGTCTCTGCCTAGTAAATTTAGTCCTCAAATTAAGAGATACCTGGGAAATACTTGGAAAGACACAAGGGAACAGAAGGCTGTCATATTGTTGGCTCCTAGAGAGAGAGAGGTGTTGGAGTATTCTTTGTACTGGAAGGCTATATACTGAATGTATAAAGGACTCGAAATGGTAACTTTTTTCCTTTTTTTTCCTACTTTTAACTAAATGGTAGAGGAAATACTGATTTAAAAAAAAAGAAAGATAAGAACTGCTCTGGTAAGGTTTCAACAAGGTTTTGATTGGAAGGGAGGTCTAGGTAGGAAGTGGAAAAACTGAGTGTAAAGGAAGTCAAAAGGAGCCTGAAGAGGAAGGGAAGGAGAAAATAAAATACTGGGATGGATTTTCCTTCCTCCCAGGCCAGATTTTGAGGCTAGACCTAACAAGTGGAAAAAAAAAAAAAAAACCCTCACAAAATGCCTCTTGTTTTTGTGTTGGTTTGGGTTTGGGGTTTTCTTTTTTAAGGAATGAAGAGAGAGAGAGAGATTAACACACAGAGACAGGCATGTCTTTTTTGGGATGCTTGTATTCCCTGGCTGTGGGAAGCAGGGTGTCCAGTCTGGAGCTTCCTAGCTGTGACTGGCTCTGGAAGAGCTCAAGTTGGTCTTGTGTCACCCAGAGCAGTGCTGGGGCTGTTGGAGGAAGAAGGAAACCATCAGGAGGTACTAAGGCCAACATTGCCACTCACACTTGAGTCACATGGCCTGTCCACTCCGGGTCTGTCCCAAAAGAAGTCTGGGCTCTGGTGAGCTGTTGACATTTCCCACTTGAGAACTGTTCTTCAGAAACCCTCTCCTCTCCAAGCCACCCCGCAGTTCTTGGCTGTGTCACAGTGCTTCAGGATTGCAGCCACCTCCTGCCCTGGTGAGCAGCTGGCAGTGACATTGCACAGCTGGTGGCCACCCACCACAACTCCTTCTGTCCTACTCTGTGTTTACCAACGTGCAGTTCACAGAGTCACAGAATGTGCTGAGTTGGAAGGGACACCACAAGGATCATCCTGGCCCTGCACAGGCCCATCCCCAAGAGTCACCCCCTGTGCCCCAGAGCATCATCCCAACCCTCCTGCAGCTCTGGCAGCCTTGGGGCTGTGCCCACTGCCCTGGGGAGCCTGTTCAGTGCCAACCACCCTCTGGGGGAAGAACCTTTCCCTGAGATCCACCCTGAGCCTGCCCTGACACAGCTCCAGCCATTCCCTGGGGGCTGTCCCTGGTCCCCCCAGAGCAGAGCTCAGTCCTGCCCCTCCTCTGCCCCTGCCCAGGCAGTTGGAGCTGCAGGGAGGTCTCCCCTCAGTCTCCTCTGCTCCAGCTGAACACACCAAGTGCCCTCAGTGTCCTCACACGGCTCCAAATCCAGGCCCTTCCCCATCTCCGTGTCCCTCCTTTGGACACTCTCCAATGGCTCAATCTCTCCCTTCCATTGTGTCCCCCAAAGTGCCCCAATGTTGAGGTGAGGCCGCCCCAGGGCAGAGCAGAGCGGGACAATCCCCTCCCTGCTGCCCCAGGACAGGGATGTCCCTCCTGGCTGCCAGGGCACTGCTGGCTCAGGGACAGCTGGCACCACCAGCACCCCCAGGGCCCTTTCCCAGCTCTGCTCTCCAGCCTCTCATTCCCAGTCTGGCCCTCCATCAGGACGTTTATTTTGACTTGCTTGATTTATTTACATATTTTTATAAGGGTTTTTTACAGTGCTGTATAACAACTTTTAACACATAACTGTCTCTGAAGATCAGACATTTTATTTGAAATTTCCTACAGATGAAATTTATAGATTAAGAGCATAAAGGCACAAAAGACTGGTAAGAATCTCAGCCTTAAAGCTAATATGTCTTACCAGATGGCAGGAATGTTAGACAGACTGTGAAATAAATAGGAAGTTCACACTTCCTAATATGAACAGGGCATGAAAACGTGCAGTTCAACAGAGGGTGTAACCAATGCAGAATAAAGGGGAAACTCTTCAGGACTAGAAAATACAGAGTGTAGAGATCTATTGTGGCACTGTACATTAAAATTATTTTCCTGAAGGCATAAATGCAATATTTATCCTGAATATTCTATTTTTATTTTGTGAGTTCTATCTGTTACGAAAGATGGTTAGTATGAGTAACTATTTTGTAAAGTCCTGTGTAAATCAGCATAGAATAGATGCATTCAGCTATATTCATGATTTTCCCATTGATGTTACCTATATGTGAAAATTGCTTTCCAAGACCTCCATTGAATAGGAAAGGAAGGAAATCAGTGCACTGTTTAAACAAAAAATGTAATAATGTTGTTTAGAGATAGGAAACCAGCTTTGAAATGTATTAGGAGTGCAACTGGATGTCATGGGCCATAGGAGGAAGAAATCATTAGCTTGGGGAAAAAGCAGCACTGGCACAATAGCCATGAGCAGATGTTAATGAGGATATGCCTATCAGCAAGGTGTGGGATAAGATTAGGAGGATGAATGTTAGCAATAAAATCCCACAAGAGTATGTTGTCTTGTTAAAGGAAAAAGCTAATTTACAAGAGTTTGTTTCTGTTAATCAGGTTTATGTTTAGGAAAAGGAAATGTGGGGAAAACCAGGGTGATTTTGGAGAACAGGCTTTGACCACTAATATCCTATTGTATCAGCAGTGATTTTCCCTTTGTGGTTGCTGACTCCTGTGAGTGCTGTGGTGACAGCATGTGGAAGTGCAGGGAGAACAGCAGGGGTGCTGCACTGGTGTTTGGGCTGTGTCTGTGAGTTGTTGGGAGCAGTAATGGAAATGCAGGGTAGCTGGAGCTGTGTGGTACAGTTTGTACAGTATGTCACAGCCCTCGTGGCTCGGAGCCTGAGCCCTCTTGCTGCCTGGATGTTTGACAATGCAGGCATGCATGTAGGCAAACAGGACTTCTAAAAATACATTTCCCAAATCATCCATTCCAGCTGTCGGGGTGGAACAGTCCTTTTGTCCTGCAGCCCTGGCCGACTGAAATCCCGCTGGAGACCAATGAAATTCAGTTATTTGCTGCCCGACAGGAAAAGCTGCTGACCTGAGCTTTATACCCTCAGCACACTGACCAACCATTGTGTCCAACCTGAGGCTCAAAGCACGAGCTGGCCTCTTGCCCAGTGGCTTTGTAAACACCACCAAATGGCACCAGCAGTGTGTGGGCAGAGCCCCCAGCCTGCTGTTTGCAACAATTGCTGCCCCCCTCCACGGGGCAGTCCCACTTTGGAAAGGATGAAATGACTGACTAGACATGGCCACCTAAAAATAAAAACAGGGACGAGCACCTTTTCTTGTCAGACACATCAGAGATCCGGGTCACCTGAAAAAATCCGAGTCTGCAAACCATACTGGCTGTAGGGAAAATAAATAAATATTTATTTTGAATAATTAAGATATGAATCTCTTAATGCTCCATGGATCCAGTTTTGATCGAACTGAATGGAAGCCATTGACTTCAACTGACATTGGATGTGTCCTGTGACCTTCTGGTTTATATATTTAGACTCCCCATACTAATCTTCTCTTCTACAGGTCTGATGTCATCACCATTATTATAAGCAGAACTTGTCACTTGATTGACAGCAAATAACCTTTCCAAAAAGTAGCCAAGGAGTAAGAATGTTTTGTCAGGGTGGCACATGATCATGGCTGCCTGCAGTCCATTTTTGTTTACAGGCAGTGGAAGAATTTCAGACATTTATAAGGTCGGTGTCCCTAGTCCAGAGATGAAGGAGATGGGTTTGTTTTTTAATTGCTGTTCTGCTTAAAAACCTGACTTCCAGTTGGGCTGAAATGAAGGACTGGACTGGAGTAAATGTGTTACCTGTTGCAAGCAGCTGGCTGGGCCCAGGAGTGGGGTGCTCTGACTGCACACACAAAGGGGTCACTGGCAGTTCGTATTTTTGCTTTAGGAAGTCAAATACTTCAACATATGTATAATTTTTTTTTTTTACTGTCTGGTGATTCAGATGTCTGGGATCTCATTTTGCTTGTTTTCTTGAAAACTTTCACGAAAAGGAATCAGCTTGCAAAACCACAAAAATGTACTTCTGAGCCAGCTGTGGTAAAATAGTTTACATGGCCAGCTCAGCACTGGAGAAGTTTTTGTAGTTCAGAAATTTATTCTGATGAGTAGTGAGTGATAATGAATGATTAGCAGTTGGCTTAGAACTGTTCAAGGTATGCCTCAAATGTGGAGGTGCTGAGAGAGAATATTTGTGAGACAAAAGAACTGTAGACATTTGGTCATACTAGAGCTTAGAATATTGGTTTAAAACAGACATGCTGTAAATGTGGGAATGAGAACCAGACTGAAGTTAGAAAATTACTCTTAGAAAAGAGTATAGTCTTTAAGTAGATGCCACTGTTAAGGTTGTGACAAAGAGTAAAATGTAATTCTGTGTAGCTGACCCAGCTTATTAATAGTGTATTGAGAACTTCTAATGTTATAGAGTCTAAATACTCCGTAAGAAGAAGTGAAACAAAATTTAGAATTAATTCTAGAGCATTTATAAACAGGTATAGAAAAATAGTGTCCCTTCTACTAAGTGTTAGAAATTAGAGGCTTCTGCTTGTTTGACCTTGTTCAGCTGACTGCATTAAGGTGTTATATATGTTTCAGATAACAGAATTTGGCTATCTTGGTGTCTTATATTGGACATGAAATTCTTATTTTAATTCATTTTAACTTAAGTTTATTTAAATATACAAAAAATTGTATATGTTTATAAATATATATATAAATATTTAAAGTAGTCTAGAAAGAAGCCTAAATGATAGGTTTAAAGGATTTCCATGTGGTAGTTCCTGCAGCACAGGATTGTTGCAGGGGGACTGGAGAGCAACTGCTATTGCATTGCCTTGGTTTCTGTGAGGGCACTGTAGCAAAGGCAACTAAATCTCAACTGCCTTAATGGTCCTGTCACGACCTTTTGCCTGTAAAGATTTTTTTGTATTTTAGGAAACTGCCAAATAAGGAGTAATTTTGTAATGGAGAACATGGAATTACGAAAGTAAGTTGAGCAGAAGGGTAACAGAGAAACATTTAAGTCATGGGCAAAACTTTGCTAAATTACTTGGTACCACACAGAAGAGTGTGGTGGATAAAGCTGTGATCTCATGCAGGCCTGACTAGGGTTGAACCCTGTAGGCTTTTCTGTGGGGTTTCTTCATTGATTACTGAACACTCAGTATTTCACTGTGTGTCATATATCAGTGTGTGCCTGAGACTGGGACTGAAGTCACCCACTTACAGGAGGGCAGGAATCCACAAGACAGGAGACTGACAAAGCTTCCTGCATAAATGACTCTGCTGTGCCCCTCCACACGGAGCCTTTTGGGTGTCCTGGCCAGGCCAGACCAGGTCTCCTGGTGACATCATGAAATGTGAGCTGCCTGTGAGCTAGTTCTTGGCCATGCTGGAGCTTTGGCCACCTGTCTGTCCTGTGCTTGGGAAGACATTCAGGATGTTGACAGAGGAGAGGGGCACTTATCTGCTAAAGCTTGGCAGCCCAGTCTGGGGTGTTATCCGAGGGACCAGAGCAGCTCCCAGTGCTTGGTTGGCTGAGCACCATTTTCCTCTGGCTCCAGCAGGAAAACCAGCATAGCTGAGCTCACTGGCTGGTTTCAGGTTCCTGGTTTGTTCAGTCAGCTCCTGCTGCTCTCATACTTTCTGGGTAAGTGCTGCCAGGAGTGTGTGTGTTTTTCTTGCACTGTGGTCCGGCCCCTGGGCTGGGTTCTCCTCGATACACCTGACAGCAGGTTGGAGCAGCTCACTCTCCTCATCGCTAAACTGCAGCTGATGATACACTGCCCAGTAATTTTTTGTTTGTTTGCTTGCTCTTTAAGCTTCCTCAGTGAAAATGGTGCACAACTGGCTGTGTTATTGGGTGCAGATATCCTGCACTGCTGGACACGTGCCAGGGATGCAGGAGCATCTGACAGCTGAGCTTTGAGGGGAAGAACGATGTTCCCTCTGTGTGTGAACTGCTAAATAATAAAGAAGCAGATAAACAGTACCTACAGGTGCATCTTTTTTTCATTTCACGCTGATGGTCATGATTCTGTAACTCAAATATGCGTATTCCAGATGCTTTGAGGCACACAACAGCAAGCCAACACTTACTGAAAGATAAGGGAGTAGTAGAGTGATCTTAGGCCGTAGAAGTTGTTTTCTGTTTTGGGGGTTTGCATATGTTGGTTTTCTTTTGGAATTCCAAGAGTTACAGTGAGGAAGTTATTTGATATAGATCTTGCAAAGTTAAGCTTTCACAGTGGTCTTGAGTGTCAACACACTGCGTGTACATCTCAGGGATGATTGTCATTCCAGGAGCTGGAAGATGAGAAGGCAATAAATAGTAGGATACAGAGTTTACTCTTGTTCCTCTTTAATGGGAAACTATTTCAACCATGGCAATGGAGGTGACAAATGTTTGGTTTAGCACAAAAGAAAAAGGAGAGCAAAAGAGATTGAAATGCACAGTCATGTAGGAAATAAAACCCCTAATCAGTAGGTAAGCCTAAAAGTAGTGGAAAGCTTCTCTTATTGTGTTCTTAAATTAAAATGTACAACATGCACATGGTATCCCCCAATCTGCTCCACATTTTTTCTAGAGAAGAAAGAATCTGTAGAGCTGCTGAGGTAACATGATTTTCTGTTTCCTGGAATAATTGCCCACAAACATGTGAGCTTGTCCCCTCTGTTAAAGTATCAAACTCTTGGCTGTGCATGGGTGGTGATCCCAGTGATGGATGGTTACAGAAATGTCAGATTTGGATATTAGACACACTTGTCCCTAGCAGGACTTGTGGTTTTCTCCTCCCGTGGATTACAAAACATACTGACAGTCTTCAGAGTTGCTAATTTAGGCCTTCTGATTGCAACTTCATGTTTTTCTTCAGCTCACAATTCTTGGAATGGTGGTTTCCTGCGAAAAACGAGCTCATGAGGCTTTGGAACAGTCTCTCTCGTGGTGTCTGTGCATGCAGAATTGGCAGACCAGCACAGTGCATGATAAGAATGAAGTTCAATCTGTAGTGGTTTTATAACCTACGTTTTTAAGAGTCTGTAATCATTTTTGTCAAAACATACAAACAGAAATCTTTGTAAAGCTCTCTGCTCTGGCTGTAGCGTAGTATACATGTAATTTAGGGATTTGCAGCCATAACTACAGTAGCAATAACAAAAGATATTTAGAGCCCATTAGCTTCAGTCATGTTTTTTCTAAATGATTTTTAAAAATCGTGGCGCTGATCTTGCACTGAGATCCATTTACACCCAGCTCTCACGAAGGCCCAGACCTGCAGTTACTGGGATTCCATTCTGTGTCTGATCACACTCCCATTTTACAGACAATACCTGTAGGACTTTGTTTCAAGGTCAGCAATTTATGAATTAACAATAATATTTGTAAATATCTTCAAAATCCAATTCAGTAGGAATTTGGAAACCTCAACAATGCAGAGATCTGGAGAGTTTACCCTCTGCAAAATTGGATGGCACCGTGAAGGGCGAGGTACAAAGTTGTGTCTGTGATTTAGGAACCTGCCCTTATTTGCACTGTAGTAATTTGTGCCCTCTGACCATGCCTTTTAAATTCAAGGAGTCTGATAACAGGCAAAAAAATACAGGCAGGTATTTCAAACAGACTCTGTAGAGAGAACAGTAACATGTAGCTCTTTTTGAAAGATCCAGTCTCCAGAGCTGGGATTTTAAGGAGAGATGTGTTTGGCATGTAGCTGAACACTCATTAATCTGTGCTGACAGCCTGGTTTGTGCCCCTAGAACACCAAATGGCCTTGTCCACTTGGGGGGTATTTTTAGGCAGCTTTGCAGCAGATGCAGTGGCACATCCCTACTCTCTCCACTGATGGGGGTTACATTCCCAGGCCCAGAAATGAGAGCAGTGCAGGGCACAAGGCTCAAAACTCTGCCTCAGTGGGTCACCTGCCAAGAACTGCACGTGGGTAATGCTTTAGAGCTGCCTTTGCCTCCCGTTGGGGACTCGCCTTGTGTGCGAAATCTCCCACCCAGGGAACGTGCCAGAATTGATATGCACATGATCAAAGCAGTTACAGCCACCTCCTGCTTGGTACTGCAGATTCCTGATCCTCACATGTGTGCACTGTGTTCAATTTAACAGGCCCTATGACTGCCAAAAAGTTATTTTTCTGGAAACCAGAGTAACTTAAATGTCTGTATTAAACCATTTCCATTGAGAAAAGTACTTCTGACCTGGAAAGATGTAGCATTTTATCCCAGGGGGTGTTTTAAGACCTTTACTCTCTATTTTGTAGTATATGTGCAAAATAAGTACCTTGTGTAATTATGCATAATTATAATAATGAATATTTAATTAATGGTAACACAACTGATAATAAATACAGCAATTACCTGAAAAAGTAATAGTTATGGGAACTGACACAGTTCAACTAGCACCAAAATGAATTTCCCATTGTTTTCAGCAGAATTTCCCTAACTGCTGGGCTCCCCTTGGGAAAACAAGAGCCCAGGATGGCTGGATCACACACCAGCAAACCAGGCTTGGGCAAGGAATTCCTCTGGGAACCTGGCAAGTGCTTTTACTGTGAATACAGGTAAAGAGGACACGTAATTTAACAACTTTGCTATCCCTCTGTATGAAAAAAAAAACAAACTACTTGCTTTCTTTTCACCTGAGTGCTTTTCCTGCTGGTTTGTGTTGTCCCTCTGACACCACTATTGCAGGTAGGGCAGAGTCAGCTTCCTGGCCATTGCAGCAGGAGCAGAATCACTGATTGAGCTTCCTGAATTTCTATTCATTTTCATGTTGAAGTCAGCAATAGTAACTTTTAATGGTCAGTGGGCCAGGCTGACAACTATATGTAAATAGAGAGATCTGTATTGTAGAACAAATGTGGTATAAAAAAATCAGAGAAAGCACCATTGGTTTTCTCCCAAACACCTTTCAGAGTGAAAACCTCATTTCAGCTTCTCTGCTTGTGAAGGGAAAGAAGCCTTGAACTGCAAGAGGTGTGTAATGTCTAAAAATCCTTGTGAAGGGATTTACCTGAATCGTGTAACCAGCACTGATTACACACAAAAAGCCTCCCAGAACACAGGAGAAGGATGGGTGTGCTCAGAGGTGTCCTGTTAGCCCGGCAGGGGGAGGATTGCAGGCCAGCATCCTGCAAGGAGCCATCCAGGCTGGAGCATCCCCACTGTCACTGCCTGGGCAGGGTGCTGAGCCACAGGGTGGGGCTGAGTGAGAAACCCCTGCTGCATGCTGGGTTCTTGGAAGAGAGCAGGGTTTCTGCACAGACACACTCTGCAGGTCCAGGTGAGCACCCTGATGTGCCACTGCAGCTTCTCAGCAGCTCTTGCTGGGCCTGGTTTGCTGCTGGTGGAGTCGTTGGGGTCTCAGCATTTCCTGCGTTAATGTCTGTGCCACAATTGCTAATTGACCATGAAATTTTAGCCTCCAGTCACACGTACATATCTGAGGGGATTTTGTTCTAGTCAAGTAAGTGTTCTTGACCACCATTAAAAGCTCTGACTTGTGTAGCAGTGGATGTCACTGAAAATTCATGGTTGTTTGCTTATTATTCAAAGCAATACCCTGGCTTTCTGATATAACATAAGGGTAAATTGTAAATTTATTTCCTACACAGTGGTTAAAATCCATTGTGTAGAGAGGAGTTGTATCCCAGAAGAATGTATTCCTATGCTACCAAAACAGATTTAAATCTGGTAGCTAGTAATTGTTTCATCTCAAAAAAAAAGCAGTCTTTGTTAGAAAAAAAGGATATTTTAGAGACACTAAGACTTGGGAGCTCTAGCAAAACAACTGAAGAGGAAATATTTTTCTGTGCTAATAGAAGTGATATAATATCCTGATTTGTAAATTCAGGAAAAGCATCTTGTAAAAATAGCTCTTAGAAGAGCTGTGGACCTCTCTAAAGTGTAGGATTCTGCTGCTGGATTTGCCTTCCTTGACCATACAAACAGCAGTACCCTTGCTCCTCTCCAAGGAAATCTGGGGTTTAACTACACATGCATCTTGGCAGAGACAAGAGACCCAAGTGTGACAAAAAGGCAATTGCTCTCATCTTACAGAGTTTGATTAAAGCTTTAGGCACAGAGCTTTTTAAATGACAAATGCTCAGTGAAATAATATTATGTCTTTATACTCCAGAGCACTATTAATCTGAGGTTTCAGGACCTTAAGAAATGTTAATTAACTCATTACCACTGGTGTAAAGTGTGTGATTGTACTCATCTCGTGGGCTGGTAGCTGAGGCATGGAAATACTGGGTTCTTCAGGAAGAAGCAGATTGGGGGTCCCTGCCGTGTGTGTTCCCTGCCAGGGATTTACAGAGATGTTAACTGCTCAGGCACTGGTGAGCTCCATGGATCTCCCTTCCAGTTAGCCCAAAAGGAGCAGGAACAATTTCGGCAGGGACTGAACAACTGCAGGATGTTAATGCAGCCTGGATATTTGGGAGCCCAGATTTGAGAGCTAAGAAGCCAGGCAGTGCTCTGAGGAGCTGAAGGAGCTGCATGTTCAAGGAAAGAACAGAGACGCTGTTGGCTGTTCTGCAGAAAGGCAAAGGTTTGCATCACCTTAAATATATTTTTTTCAGAAAGCTGCTGTCTCAGATTAGGGTAAACAATGTGCAAATTAGGAAGCCATTTCCCTTGAAATGCATCTCTGCACAGGCTTGCTGAATCTGTTTGTGATTCCAGTGGAATTAAAGAATAGGGTCACTGCAGGACACAGCTCACAACAGCAGTTTGTGTGGGTATAGCAATTGTTTACCTAATAATGAATAATCTGCTGTACATATTAGATCTTAATCTTAAATCTGTTTTGAGTGGTAAAAACTTTAGGCATGACATTTTAATATACTTTCCACAATTTTTAATTCAATCACTACTTTCCAGTACCACTGAGAACAATTTAGCCACTGAAACTCTTTTTGAGTCTTGTGAAATTGTTGATCTCGATGATTTCCCTTAACAATTAAGTTTTGTAATATAATTACACGTTTATATTCATTTATTACTGTTATTTTTGCATTTCGCAACAAATTTCCCCTTGTTTTCCTGTTACAGGACAGTGAGTAACTGAAGTTCAAAGTCTACCTTTTCTGTAATCTTCTGTAATTTTTATGTTTGTTTTTTTTTTGTCACAGGCCTTCCATGCCTGATTCATTTTTAGGGTAAACCCCAAACTTCTTTCAGTTTGCCTTTTCCCTTGCCCAGGTCATTCTTCTCATCCTTCTGTTAATTTCACCTGACTCTGAGGTGTCCTTTTTTCCAACCTGCATCATTACACTTTCTTCCAGATGAAGGCACTGATTTCTCTTATATTCTTTAGCTTCCTAATTATCATTTTTCTTATGCATCCCAACATTCTGTTCACTTGTTTTGACCTCAGTCTGCTCTCTGTGACCCTTTCTGAGAATGCTGTGATTGATACAAGTGACTCCTCTTGTTCCATTCCATAGCACAACCCTTTGGAGTTACCACATCTGAGCTCTGTGCCCTCAGCCTGCCCAGCTGATGCTCCCTAATTGAAGGGAATAATATTTGGAGTTCTTTCTGGTTCTCTCTAACCTTCATATAAATAACCCATCACCTAGATTTTACTGCTCTCTTTTCAGATCTTTGCTCTCTTCTCAAATCAGTAATCAATATATTAAATCACAGAATACTATTATTTTGCTTAGTAAAATTGCTGATATAATTCCAATATGAAAAAACCCCTAGTCTGACAATTTCTGTGCCTCTGAGGAAGTTTTACCCCGTTTCCTGCCCGTGTGGGGAGGGACAGGGCAGGGGCAGGGCAGGTCAAGAGAGGTGTGGGGAGGGACGAGGACAAGGCAGGTGTGGGGAGGGACAGGCCGGGCCCTCCCGCAGGGGCCAATCCTCGGTGCGGGGCCGCCACCTCTCGGCCACGACCGGCACAGCAGCGGCACCGTAGGCACCCCGCACCTCTGCATTCCCGCACCCCTGCATTCCCGCACCTCTGCATTCCCGCACCCCTGCATGCATTCCCGCACCTCTGCATTCCCTCACCTCTGCATTCCCTCACCTCTGCATTCCCGCACCCCTGCATGCATTCCCGCACCTCTGCATTCCAACACCTCTGTATTCCCGCACCTCTGCATTCCAACACCTCTGCATGCATGCCCGCACCTCTGCATGCCCGCACCTCCGGCACCCCCCACCTCTGTATTCCCGCACCGCTGCATTCCCACACTCCCACATCCCGCACTCCCGTGCTCCCGCAGCGCTCCGCAGTGGCTGATTGCCGCCCGCAGCTGCCGAGGGGCCGCGTTTCAGGCGCTGCTGGGCAGGGCCGCGGGCCTGGGGCTCCAGCTCTGCTCCCATGTGCCCCCTCCCGCACACCCCAGGCTGCGTCCAGGGCAAAGCCTGCCGAGAGCGGGCAGGACCGGTTACAAATCCCTGCCCCCATCCCAAGGGGAAGGGAGTGCAATCTGCGGAATTTCTCTCTGCGTGAGTTTGAAAACCTGTAAAACCTGCGGGACATAAAAACCCGGTGGTACTTTCTAGCCAAGACACGTTCACGTGTTAGAAAGCTGATCGACAGCTGCGCTCTTTGGTACAAAGGCTGTGGTGCAAGAGTGGGATGGGGCGTGGGGAGCCCCATCCGTGACTCAGCAGGGGTTCGCTTTCTCAGCACTGCCACACTGAGGTGTCCTGCGGCAGGTTAGGAGTGCCAGCTGTCTGCAGAGTGGATTCGAGGAGTGCATCTGCACAGGATCCATCAATATCCACATTTCCTAAACCTGCACGTGCCAAAATTTTGTTTTATCTAATGACCCAAAGTCCTTATGAGCACTACATGAACCACAGAGCTACTGGAACCAAACAGTTGCTGCATACAGGAATCAATGCCCATAGAGAAGCAATACAGCATACACAGAATGAGCAGTGGGAGCCTTAACCAGAGTGAGCACTGCCTGGGATTGCTGTGCTGACCATCAAGAAAGACTTGAAAAGTATTTTGAATAGACAAGCCCAGGAACAAAAATAACAGGGCAGGAAAAAACATGGATTTAATGAAGATACTGATTTTACAGTACATGGACATTTTCCACACGCATTTCACGTCATGGCCAAAAAGAAATGGAAACTGCCCCTCTCTGCTCTGTGTAAGACCTGTATTACTTTCTCCCCTTCAAGTTTGCTCCACTGTTGCAGATGCCAGGTACCCTGTTTTTTCCCCCTCAAATTGTTTAACTGATTTACTTAGCAAAGTTAAATCCAGAGCAATTTCTTCCTGTCTATCCTTAGCAAAAAGTTTGCTCTTTCTGTGCCACATCTCAAGAAGAGTTTGTATCTGACCACTCTGAATAAAAAATTGACCTCTCCTTGCAAGCCATCCCGCTCTTAAAAATGTAGGGCACTTCATTTATTACAAATACTTAAAATGTAGATGTAGGCAGTCAGCTCAGGCATTTCAGAATTGGTGCACTGACACAGTCACCTGCCCTCACGTTGCTCTGGGTTTTTATCCCCCAAAATGCTGCTCCAAGTGAGCTCTAGTTCACCCAAATCCCCATAGCAATTTTGCACTCAGGTTTGTCGCCCAGCTAAACCCAAAAGCTGTGAAGCTCTGCAAATCTGGCTCCTTTCTTGTCTTTGAAGCCTGGGAGTGGATTTGAAAGTCTGATGCCTTTTTTTATTATCAGTCGTCAGGAGAATCCATTCTACTAATTTCTTTGTGGCCACACAAGGGGTTTGTTTCCTTAGTGGAAAATGAAAGCAGGATTGCAAGCTGTAGTTTTGTTTGGTTTCATATAATAAGTTAGTAATGGATTTAAATGGAAGTGGAATTATATATGAAAATTTTTTATCATACCACAAAATTTCAATTAGGGGAAATTAGCCACTTGGTTCTTTCTGATAAATTAATCATAGAGATTATCTATTAAATGTGCCACTTAACCTTTCTGGCATAAGTGCCTGAGGCAGTAGTATTTAGGCTCTCCACATTAATTTGGAAATATTAATTTCTAGGCAGCTGTCTTCCAAAATGGAATTTTCACTTGTCTTTTTCCTGAGTAGGTCACTGTGCAGCTGTTGTTAATGGAGGCTGGCCTTTGTGAAATGAGCAATCCCCCACTGCACCCCCTCGCTCACAGAAGGGACCCCATCAATCACAGGGTGTCCCTCACTGACAGACCCTTTCTCACCCGGAGGGGTGACAGCCTTTGGCCTTTGGGCAGGGAATGTGTTCCAGGGGTTGTTCTGCAGCAGCTGAAGCACCGCTGTGTCCATCCTGTCTGCCCTCCATCAGGGAAGGCTTTGCCTTGACTCCGTGTTATCTCTTCCATCTGCGTTAGAGGAATTATTCCTGAGGGGAACTGGTCTGACAGCTCTGAGCTGCCAAAGAAACAGCCGGTTCAACTGCTGACCCCCCAGGTCCAAACCTTCCTTCTCCCCTCTGCAGTGGAATCAATTGGCCCTTTCACTGGGGACAAGGCCTCGCTGTCCCTGCAGTGCTCAGCTGTCACGCAGCTGATGGAGAGACAGCAGCTCCTGCAACAACAGCTACAAACCTTGTCCTGTGCTCTTTAGAATCAGGGTGTATCTCACCTGGCCTGGATATATCTCATCTGTTGTAAAATTTGCATAGTCTGCTGCAGGAACAGTTGGAACTCTGGAACTCTGGGCATTCCAGGGAAAGAAGAGAGGAAGTAAGAAAGTGCTGGCACCAAGGAAGCAGTCCAAGGAAAGAAAACATGAATGGCAGGTAACTTGTGTAATTTAAGGGTAATGAAATGAGAGAGAACATCTCAAAATCTTAGAATAAAGTGTTACAAAAGGAAGTAAATGGAATTGATGTTATGTGAGTAGCAAGCACATTAGTTATGGGTAACCAAACCAGTGTCCTGGAAAGTAGAATTGGTAGCAAGGCAGTGATGTTACAGTCACAGTGTGTCCCTACTGTGAACTAGAATCAATACATTATTGATTACCTTAGTGATTGCCTGAGCCTACACATTCTTGCACAGACACAATTAATCATGAGAAGAATGCTTATAGATTTGTGATGTGAAGCCAACAAAGTCCTGCTGACTTCGGGTTTGTGAAGATCTTCAAGGTTTAGGATCTGGAGGATTTTGAGACAATTCAAACAGGGCAAGGACTGTGATAGGACAGGGAAGGGGAAACAAAATTGAGACCTGTGTCTCAGCTGTAGTTGAGTGAACTGCAGCTTGGACTGAGGTACAGCTGGGCAGCTGTGCTGCACAAGGCCATGGGATCCAAACGTTGTGCGACAAGGAAAAGAACAATTACAAGATTCAGAGCAGTGAGAAGCTGCAGAGTTATAATGTGGTTCCATAGTTTGGAAAGGAAGTGGAAAAGTGAGGTGTCCTGGAATAAATGTGGAGAAGAAGAAGCAAAATTGAGATGTTATCACCATTTAAGAAAACACCAGGAACACTGGGAGGACCTGCAAGAGAAGTGAGTGTAAGTCTGTACACATGGCAGACCTTTGGCTTGAAGCTGAGCAGTGGGAAGAGGTGAAGGTGCTCTGAGAACAGTGACTACTGCTAATGGCAGCAGAGAAACTCAGGGAAAAATGTGGGGAAGGGATCCCTGGATTTGGTAGGGATGTGGTAAGACTTTCATAAAAAAATCAGGTGAGTCAGGAGCATTTCATGGCTGCCTATCAAATGCTGTCAGCAAGGTTAACAATTTTAAAAAGGATATTTTTCTCTCTAACGGGAGATAATTTTTAAGCCAAAGAACTTTACATCCTGGGTTACAGGTCCTGACTATGAACAGGAGTCTAGGATTATTGAGGGTTTGATCCTAAAGGCCTTGAAAAGCAAGGAAAATGTGTAAAGCTGACATGTCAGTGTGCACAATGACCCCAACTTCTTCATAAAGACTTACTAGGCACTTGTGTGCTCCTAGATGGAATCAGCTCCAGAGTTCCATTTTTACTTGTCATTTCATTTTCCTGCCTTCCATGAAGGTGTGCAGGGAACCACATCCAGTGAGGAATGACCAGGTAGATTTGGGTGGCATGAGAGAAGGGGCTTTGTCTTCTAGAAATTGCCCAAACCTGTGACCGGCCTGGCTGAGAGCTGCCTCCAAAATGTGGGGGAAAAAAAAAAAAAAAGAAAAAAAAAGGAAAATGTGTCAAGTGATTAAGACCTACTTTGTTGAGGAAACGAGGAAAAAGGCTTTGGCCTATTACACAGTTAAGTCTGAAAAAGCAAACCTTAGAAACGAGTGAGGTGTGGAAGGGCCTTTGTTAAGGATCAATTATGAAATTTTTTGTTTTGCACAAGGAACAAGATGCTGATTCTGCAGCTTAAGAGTGGAGCTTTGATTTCCGTGATCTGAGTCAAGTTCACACTCTGTGACTGATTTGGGCCCAGATCCATAAAGGGGTTTAGGTGCTTACAACATGACTTCACTGGGATTTACTGCCCTAAGCAGCAGAGCGCAATCTCTGCAATTTGACGTGCTCCTTTCCACACCCGTGTTTGAACAACAGGCTGCTTTATGCCCAAACAGCTCTGTGCCCCCGAAGGATGGCACAGCTGCTGCCCTGCCTGTGCCGGCCTACCGGCCAGCAGGCAGGGATGGGGTGCAGAGGAGCCAGTGGCAGGGATGGGGTACCAGGAGGGCAGGCGGCAGGGCATGGATGGGGGCACCAGGATGCAGGTGGCACACAGGGAGGTGGGCAGGGATGGATGGGGGCACACAGGGAGGGGGGCAGGGATGGGGCACACAAGGAGGTGGGCAGGGATGGATGGGGCACACAGGGAGGTGGGCAGGGATGGGGCACACAGGGAGGTGGGCAGGGATGGATGGGGGCACATAGGGAGGTGGGCAGGGATGGATGGGAGTACACAGGGAGGTGGGCAGGGCCGAAGGGATGGGGGCACTCAGGGCGGTCCCTGGGGGTACAGCGGGTGCCCGCGGCCCTGCCCGAGGCTGGCGCTGGGGCCGCCCCCGAGCGCTGCCCCCGCAGGCCCGGCCGTGCCCGCCCGGGGTGACGATACCGGGAGGGGGCAGTGTTTGTAGCCGAGCCCAGCACGGGCAGGGCCCGGCACAGCCCGCCGTGACGGACACCGCGATCCCCACTGCGAGGGTACAGCCCTGAGGGCTGCGCAGCCCCGGGGCCGCTGCGAACGCTGAGGGGGCCGGGGCAGGCGGGAGGCTCCGGCTCCAGCTCCAGCTGCAGACACCGCCTCGCCCCCACACGGCCCCGCGGTCGCTCCTCCCTCCCGTGTGGCGGCCGAGGGATCCCCCGCGGAGCGAGGGAGGGGGCCGGGCCGGGCGGGGCGGGGCGGGGCGGGCGCAGGAGGCCGCTCCGCCGCTATAAGAGCGGAAGCGGCGGCGGCAGCTCCGCTCTCTGTGCCCGGTTCTGTGAGCCCTGCCCGGCCCATCCCGCCGACATGGCGCTGTCCGGGGACCCCCACTTCAAGAAGCTGCTGGAGTGGCACAAGGCGAACGCCTCCAAGCTGGTCCTGCGGCAGCTCTTCGAGGCCGACAAGGATCGCTTCCAGAAATTCAGGTGAGGCCCGGGCGGCGCCGCGTGCGGGGCCCGGGAGGGCCCAGAGGGGCCGGTCGGGGCCGGGAAGGGCCGGTCCCTGCTCTCCCTCCGCCGGGCCGTGCCGTGGGGCCGGGCCCCGCCGCGGTGGGAGCGGCGCATCCTGCGGCCCCGGGCGGGCAGGGGGGAGCAGGGCCAGGGGCCGGTGCCGCGGCCCCGCCTGCTGTGCCCGGTGCTGTTCCCGCGGCCCGTGGCGGCCCGGCCCGGCAGCCGCGCCGCTGGGCGGGGGTGTTCCCGCAGCCCCGAGGGGCGGCCGCGCCGCCTGCCCTTGACTCATCCTTGCGGGCGGTACGTGCCGGGCAGCACAGACAGCTCAGCACAGCACAGCCCGCCGCTCGCACAGCCGCACTCCGGGCCGCGCCGCCGCCCCTCAGTCACGACACGCTCCGCGACAGCCGCCCCCCGCTCAGCCTCGGGCACCGCTGGCACGGCAGTGCTGGCACGGTGGCGATGGAGGAGGGAGTAACAAGTGGGAGCATCGTGAAAACCACCAGCGCCTGCATCTTGTGGAGCGGCGCTCGCTGTGTGCGCTGGGGCCGTGCCGAGCAGGCACGTGTGTGCTCACGGTGTTGGACTAGAGCAGCCGTATGAAGTGCAATACTGCGTAGGTGCATCCCGGATTTGAATTTTAAAGTGAGCCTGGGTGATAAAAGGACCCGCCGTTCTTGAGTGCTGCGATAAGACTTGTTGCGTGCACCAGGCTTTTCATTAGTGTCCTAGGTGAAGTGATTATTTTTTCCCCTTTGCTCTTCTTAGAAAGTTCTTAAATTGTAATTGAACAGTGCACGTGAAGTCGTGCATACCAATATACAAGAGTTAAGATGTCCTTTGCATTGATGGAAAAGGTATGCTAAGTTTTTGGAGTATTGACTTCACCTAGTATTTCTAACAGGACTTCTTATATTGTTAAAGAAATTTGTCATTATTATCACAAATCTATCGACTCTTCTCTGATGGAGCTAGTTCTGGTTTCAGTTTTTTCCAGGATTTTCTTTGTGAAATGTTCTTTACCGGGGTTATCTGTTTCAAATAGTTGCTCAAATCTGTGTCCTTTTGTGCTCCCCATAAGTAGAGGACACAGTTCAAGTGTTAAAGGTTTAATGTCATCTCCTGTAATCCTTTCTTGTAATTATTTCAGTCCTGTTTCCCGATAACCCCCCACGTTCTGGACTAGGAGAACTTTCTTGTGGCCAAGTACAGTTGCAGAGCTGATGGCCTGTGTTGGACAGATCTGCTTGTGTGCTCCAGTGATGGCCACTCTGAGCCAGCCCAACAGGACGAGGGTAGTTAACATCTCCTCAAAACCCCACGTAGCCTGGAGGTTTTGATCCTCTGCAGTTTGCACCTCTCTCCTCATGTGCAATTAAGTTTTATGAATATATTTGTTAGCCCTGTAGCTATTATCATAAAATCACTGACTGTCTCCCTTCCTTTAGAAGGAAAAAAGAGACTTATCCCCACGTGAAAGGGCTTCCTCATACCAGTTCTGGAGGAATTTCAGACTGTTGTGAATAACTCTTAATCTGAATATTATATCTTTGAGCATAGGTATTTATTTAATGTTCTTGTAAGAACCCTACACTCACTGATTGCATCCTACAGAATTTAGATGGGGATCCTTTGGTTCTTTTGTCCTTTTTTCTGCCTCAGAACTTGTATATCCTATTTTCCTGGTTAGTGTAGTCACACCTGTAAGATACATCCGTGGCTTTCTTTGCTACCCAAGGTGGTAAGGTATGGTCTGGTAGGAACAGGGAGTCTTATTAATGTGGGTTGTTCACTGGAAATGACTAGTTTTGAAGGGCTTAGAACTGCTATGATGCAGCCATCATAAAACTCAGCAGGTAATAGAGACCTGGGTGCTGATTTAGGCAGTGCTGGTGCAGATGGCTTTTGCAAGGTGTAAGGGATTACACTGGACTTACACTCCTGCTGGTTGGCGTGTCCACCGTGAAGGATCAGAAGGAGCCTCCAACCTAAATGGGAAAGGTGGTGGGAGATAAAATCACTGAGGTGTGCAGGTGAGCTGCTGCTGAAGGGCTGCATCGCTTCGGGGTGGTGGTGGCTGACGTGACAGGGCTCGTGTCCCACCTGGGCAGCGCTGCCCTGAGCTGCTGCACTGCAGAGGGGGCAGTTGGGCAGGGAAGACAGCTCAGCTGCTCTTTGCAGAAAGGGTGGATCCCCTGGTGTAAGGGCTTAGCAGAGATTACACTGCACTGTGTGTTCCCTGTGCGTGGCAGCTCAGTCTGCTGCCATTGCTTCCTTTTGGCAGGAAATGGCTCGGGTAGCACCTTTCTGCAGGTTGTTCACATGGGCAGTGACTTGAATGCAGCCACAATTTCACGGGGTGTTTTGCCATCTAGGTCTAGTGAGATTGATTTTTTTCTTTTTTTTGTATTCATACAAGTAAAATAATGAATTGTAGATGTAAGATACATGTCAGCTAAACAAACATGAAATGCTAATCTTTTCTTTGGGGAGTAGAACACTGGGAGAAGCTATCATCCACAGTTCAATATGGAAGGAGAATTTTTAGAGTTCTACTTCTCTAAACTGAAGCAGTGTTATTGTACTAATGGCCTTGCTGAATCATTAGTGAAATGTGTTCAAGTCTGATGTGAGTCTGTGAATAAATTGCATCAGATTTTGAAGACTTGTTCTTATTTTTCTTCTGTACTGTATCAATGAATGGCAGTTTTGGCAGGTGAGAGGTCCCAGTCCTTCCCTTAGCCAGCCATATCCCAGGTATCCTTGTGCTGGATGGTCTGGATTTCAGGATTACTGTTTGCAGCCCACTGAGGAGAAGGTGATTACCAGCACTGATACTGGTTTTCCTTGCTTATAAAAGAAACACAGCTCTAAGACTGTGCTTGAAGAGACCTTCCTTCCCTTAGTTAGTGCCTCATGTGTTTGAAGACCAAAAAAGACGTTACTGTGCTTTTCCTGAAGTTATTGAAACCACCAAACTGTTTAGGCCTTGCTGTAATTACTGCTCCTCAGTTCAGCTGCATCCTTGCTCTGCAGAATCCTGCCTGCTCTGCCATGTTATGTATGCTTGGAATCACAACTGTGCCATGGCTTGTCCCTGGGAAGGCTCTCTGGTGGTGACTGAAATAACAAGGCGTGTTTCTGTGCGCAGGTATTGAGGAGGAAGAAGCAGGGGGACAATGACCAAGGCAGAAACCCCGAGAATGGAGAGGGCTGCAATTTCCTGGGGGGATGGGGGGGTGTGGAGCAACAGGGAGAGCAAGAGGTGCTTTTACAGAAGGCTGAGTTAGTGACTGAACTCAGTTCCTCAGTTAGAATAAATGTACATGTTTGGTTGGGAAATAGTGCAAAGCAGAAATGGGTAAAAAAACAGTGTTGTAAAGGACATAGACACAAGGATACAAATACAGACAGGCTCACCTGGTTTCTACTGGACTGCCATTTCTGGGTTTCATTTCAGATATGATATATTTATATATATATGTGCTTATATTCTAAACTGTTAGGCTGTAGCTTGCAGATGATTAGTCAAGTAATGTGGAGACTGCCACAGAGTCAGTGAGGACTGTGAGACTAAACCGTGTGCAAATGGGGTTTAATTCTAAATAGTAGTTGACAAGATGTTTCTGTACATTAAGTTGTATAGATTTTTAAATTAGGCTGTCTCAAGTCTGTATGAAAGAATGACTGACTGTATTTTTAAAAGGATGTGTGGGAAGGCAGGTTAATTTTTCAGAAGCAGGAGAATGTGATTAGCTCCTTAGTGATGATACATTAGGAAAAGCTAATTATTGCTGGGGAATGCTGGTGGCTCAGTGAAAACAGAATGTGATTGTCCAACTATGCATCAAATATACTTGATTGTATTTGGATTTTCACAAGCAGAAAGTGGACACTAATTCAGTGTTGAAAAACATGGTCTTCAATAAAAAGAACACAGTGGTAAGTCATTTTTGGAAACCTGTTGGGCAGATTGGTCACTCACATCATCTTCACTAACTCAGTGTAATTAGGGTTCCTGTTGTTGTGTAAAATGTAGAGGAGCCCTGTTCAGGAAGGTGCAACTAAATTGCCTGTTGGTTTTGACAGCTTGACCCTGAACACTGACCATGGGGATATCCTACTGGATTACTCCAAGAACCTTGTCACAGAAGACGTGATGAAAATGCTGATGGAACTGGTAACTATTGAAATGTTGCATTAATAAACCAAAGAACTTTCAGAAAAGCCGGGTTGTGCCTGCAGCTCACTGTTCTAGCATTGCTTGTGTCCATTAGCTCTGGGGCTGAGAGACAGTGCAAGTTAAAAGGCATCTGTGTACAGATCTTGGCTCTGTTCAGATTCCTGCTTTGTCATCCAGCCCCAAGTTACAAGGCCATTTTTCAACGTGCAGAGCTGTTTCTTGTGCTCACTGAGAAGATGTTTGTCAGTATAAACTCCAGCTGGCATATAGCTCTGGTATTGAGGTCTGCAGTAAAATAAGAGATTCCTGTAAAATTGCAAGAGAAGGCCATGGCTTCTATACCTGCCACTGAACCAATATTTCATATGTCATGCAGTCTTACTTTTGAGATTCATTTGCAGTTGGATCTGTCTTAAGAAAGAAGTTTTTATCATTAATTTCAATTTGCAGGGTATCCACATTTACAACCCTTCCTTCTTTAAGTATTGGTTCAGCCAAAGGCTTAGACACTATTCAGAGTTTTAAAAAGGGAAGAATTAGCAAAAGTAGCCATAGCAAAATTACTGTTGCTGCCCTTCAGTTTAAAAAAAGTAAACTCTAAGCTGGTGCGAAGAATCATTCATGAATCCCATGGCAGCATGACAACATGGAACAGAGAAATTGATATGGATTCATTGCATCTGGGTCTTTCAGCACATGTTACTCTGTAACCTCTTAATGAAACAAGCAGCATAAAAATACTTCCAAATGGCAGAATCAGTTCTTTTATCTAGAGTCTAGTGGGCCTTTTAATCTATTCTAACTTGTGTTTTGCTATCTTGTGTTGAGTGTTCATAGTCTTTGATGTAGCAGGGCCTTTGTAGTGCATGTTGAGTCCCTACTATTTTTAAGAGGAGTCTGTACTTGCGTTTCTCAGGCGAAGTCACGGGGTGTGGAGAGTGCCAGAGAGCGCATGTTCAGCGGGGAGAAGATCAACTTCACTGAGGTAAGGCTATTTCTGTCCTTCACTTGTGCCTGTGTACTGTGGATGTTCATGCATCTGTGGAAGCAAAGTCTTGAAAAAACTTACTTTAATTGCTCCTTGGAAAGGCTGAGTGGTTGTAATGTTTGTTGCACTACTTACAGGAGAAATTTTTACAGCTCTGACTAAAAAACCATCAAAAAATGTGTGTAAATAATGCTACTCAATCCTGCAGTACATCCCTTAAATTTTTAGAGATTTTGGTGGTATTTTTTCTCTTCTCTTCCCTCTTTTGTAGAGAGGAAGATGAGTTAGATCTTGCAAAGGGCATGGAGCAGAGTGTTGCATCCCAGGTATCCCTCATGTGCTTTTGCCTAATGTCAGTGCTCATAAAGCTTAGTAATGGCCTACAAGATGTGGGTGAGGATTGTGTCAGACTCTGCTTTGGGCTGTGATGCTGCTTGGCTTTGGGAACCTTTAACAGTCAAGACTATAAACCATCCTGGGAAATGCAGCCATTGTATTTCAGTGCCTTCCTCTTCGTGGAGGTCTGAAGGTTGTAGTTGTGGTTAAATCTTCACTAAAACATCCAGAAAGCCAACTGTACTTTTTTCTGATATGAAAAATAGAATGAAAACTAGAAACTCAGCAGTAGAGTGGGTTTTATTAGTCTGCCTGAAAAATTAAGGCTGTTTAGTAGTTCGAGGTAAACTCTCAGAAATCAATGTTTCCTTTGACTTGGCTATTGCACTTGGCTATTGCTTTAGCTCTTGCACAAGCTGTTTGCTTAAAGTAACTCAGCAGTTGGACATTGTATTGTTAGTGAATGATTCATGTTTGTTAAAATGCACCGTCAGAAACAGATAAAGCTTCACTGGAGAAGTGGTTCCTCTTCCTTCTGTGTTAATGCCTTCAATTTACAGGTGTAACTAGTGGATAAAAGTGTGAAAAGGAAGTAGGGAAGGAGGGTGAGAAATCTTAACTCTCCCTGGAAGATTTTCTCAGATATTGCCTTTCACCAGCCTCATGTAACGCAAATTACTACAAGGTCAGCCCAGCTCTGACTGTATGTTATGGAGTTCTTGTCATTGGCTATGTGAGAGCAGCTGAAATCTGCTCAGAAGGATGTGATTTTCCCTGAAAGCACTTCAAACACAGTATGAAAACTGTTGCATTTGGTTCCTGCTGCTGCCTCCCTGTTCTGCTGTCTTGATACCACTTAATGTATCAACTACCTGCATGATGAGTCTAGTAACTTCTGTTTTCGTATCAGGATGTTTCCAAGTCAGAAGTTGACTTAGGTTTGAATGTTTTTCTGTTTGTACAGAAACTCAAATCGAGTTGGTTTGGCTCTGTAATAGGATTATGTGGACAATGTGAGATTGTCCTGAGACACCAAACAGCATCTGTCAAACAGTGGGACTGAACCACAAGCAATAAGACATAAGGGAGCTGCTTAATGGCAAGAATTGACTTGTCCACTACTCTTGATCTGATTTAGAACATTTTTGAGATTTTTGTCTCCAGTATTTCAGACTTGTCTGTGTTTGGTGCTGCAGGCATGGGCTGTGTGGTGTGTGCTAATGGGGAAGCTCTTTACAGTGCACCCAAGTGTGGCATTGCCAGGTGTTTGTCCCAGATGAGTTAAAACTTGCAGCTTGATATGGCACAAAGAAAGTGCTTTACAAAGGTAACTCATCTGACCACTCCTCATGGGGAGTCTTCACAGCCAGCATGGTATTTGGGAAACACTTTGCTTAGCAGTAGATATTGGGTCCAATTTGACTGCTCCTCTGGGTTAAGACAAAGCATCCTTCAAGCCTGGTAGTGAGTAGTATTTACTAAATACTGTACTGCAAAAAATTTGCCTCTGTTCACCCCAAATTTCAGTGGGTACACTTTAATTAGCAAGTGACAGAGGTTTTTCATACTGCGAGTCAGTAACCACAGACTCAATGATTTTTGAATTAGCATTTGGTATTTAAATCATAACTTGGCAGTTCATATTGTCTGTGTTGTCTTTGTCTCACAGCGCCTCTCATTGTAGTGAGGAACAATGAGGTAGAGCAGACTAATTTTTTAATTTGTTCCTTAGTATTGACTAACTCCTTCATTCTGGATTAAAGCTGTTAAGCTCTTAAACAGGCAAACCACGGGCCAGGTTTCTGTGCTTTGACTTGTGTGCAACTGTGGAGAATTAACATAATACAGTGCATGCTAAGGGTTTTTTTCTCATAACACAACTACCACCTACTTATCTGGTGTGCAAATATTCAGGCAACATTTGCTTGTGGGCAGTGGATAGATTAATGTGGCTATTGTATCCTTTTTGTCAAATGTTTAAATTACTGGTCCTTCCTATGGGAAACGGATTACTCAGGATAACTGAGAAAATGCCAGAGAAAATAACTTTGGCTGCTTGTTATAATAGATTTTTAGTATTGCCATCATTAAGAAGCAATTTCATTCTTGTCTATCTTAAGCCTGCCAAAATAAAGATCACCGAGTACTGAATATTGCTGAATTCTGAACCTCAACTTCTAAATGCTTTTAGGGGATTTTGAGGTTTTGCTTTTTCCAAGTAAACTACTGCTTTGCATATTCTGTGCTGTTGTGAGCCCTGTGCACTGGCTGTGTGAAGTGAGAGGGTGATTCAGATAGCTGGTGGGTGTGTGTGTGTACACACACTGAAAATGCTGCCCTACTAATCCCAGTTAATCTAAAGGATTTTTAGGTCTTGGAGATCACACTGCCTGGTGGATGAGGCAGCTGAGGCCTCTGGGTAGGACTTGGAAAGAGCCTCATGTTGTTTTCCCTCCTTCCAGAACCGAGCTGTACTCCACATCGCTCTGAGGAACCGCTCCAACACGCCGATCCTTGTAGATGGGAAGGATGTTGTTCCAGAGGTGAACAAAGTGTTGGACAAGATGAAACACTTCTGCCAGGTACGAAGGAGCACCGTAGTTTGTCACATTTGCTGTGCACCCAGCCAGGTTCTCAGGTGTGTTGTGAAGCACTGAGTGTAGACTGGTTCACAGGGGCTGCTGGCCTCTTGTTTGAGGTTTACAATAGTTCTGGCTCAGGCGTGGAGTTGGAGCTGTTCTTATTGATTTACTCTTCTCTCTCTGTTCCCAGCTGGGTTTTTCTTTAATGGGCTTTCTAGATCTTGCTCTTTCAGCAGTAATCTTGTGTTTACTTTGGAAGTTGTAAATCATTAAGTGCCATTCAAATGTCTCTTTATTTTTTTGCTAATTTTTCAACTACTTGACTTCACTTAGAAACTGCCTCTTAACATTTGTGTAAGATCAGGAGACAGGTAGAGGCTCCCAGCTCAACTGCAATTTGATTGTACTCTATTTAAATAGTTTCTTAAAGATCTTCTGGGTTTGTTAGCAGAATCGTTTGTGATTGTTTTGTTTGCAGTAGAAGCTCCCTGAACAGTTTTTTAATGTATTTTAAACATGGCTTGAGGACCTGGACCTGCTTGGTTGCTATTGTGAGTCTTACCCAGGTGGCAGTGACCAACCTTTAACCTGTGCAAAATGAGCCTGGCTTTTGTCCAGTTCCCAAACCACAATAACTGCCACTAATTGCTCTGAACTTGGTGGTTTCTTCAAATACTGGGAGGATTGAATGGCTGTAGAAATTCACAGGTTTCTGCCACTGTGGTGCTTTTAGCTGGTTGAGGTTTTGGTAGTGCAAAACAAAGAGTTCTCCCTCTTGATTGCTCGATGGTGTCAATCACCACAGCCTGTGAATGTCTCATTCCATGCACGTGTCTCTTCTCTGCAAAATAAAAGTCAGGATAAGCAGTTTCCTTGAAAATACTAACGAAGATGCTTGTTTCAGTTGACTTACTGAGCAGGTGGGGTTTTAGGACTGTGGTAACATCATCTGCTGGGTTCAGGACTGTGTATATTAGAAATGGTTTTCCTGTTTGGAAAAATGAAAAGCTTAAACACCTGTAGGGAAGAAGAGCAATTATCAGCATAATGGTTTTGTAGAAAAATTGCTTTAGAACTGGGGAATTTACTTAGAAGGATTTATTATGCCAGAAAGATTACTTTTGTTTGGAAAAAATTTAATGCAGAGGTGGTAGATGGGTAAAATTCAGTGCAGAATTTGCTACTTAATGGTTGTAATTTTGTTTTAGAACTCTCAGTGAATCTTAAAGAGCAAGAATAGAGCAGACACTATGTGCTGTGAAGGTGCAGCCCAGAAAATAAATCCTACTGCAGAGCATACATGCAGTAGAAAAGCTTTTTGAATGTTTGATCTCTATTTCAGTGGTTTTATTATTATTGGTGTCTTTCAGTTTGGTTAGTGAGGTCAGTTCTAATAAAAGACACTTAAAGAACTGCTTCAGGTTCAAGTCTTTGTTGCAAATAGTGTAATTCCCAAGATTTTTTCATTTTTAGCTGGTTTCTCTTGCCTTTGCCCACACTAAATGCTACACAGTCTACACAGGAGGAGAGCTCTTTAAATGTGTATTAGAGTTCCTGCACTTAGTGAAGTGTCATCTCAGGCATTAGCCCTTGTCTAGAAGCCTGAAGGTCTAGAAGCCTGAAAGTTGGCTTGGGAGACTCTACAACAATGCCTGCAAACCCAGCCTGTTTCCAGGGTTAGAGTCACTGGCTTTAGTGTAAATAGAACGTGTGATTGCAATGTTTTCTGCCCCAGAGGGTCCGCAGTGGTGAATGGAAAGGCTACTCTGGCAAGGCAATCACTGACGTGGTCAATATTGGCATCGGTGGCTCTGACTTGGTGAGTTCCTGCCTTCTGTACCCCCTGCACCTCTGTGTGTGTGGATGTGCCTACAGTGACAGTGAAAGGTAACTGTGGCTTCTGTGCAGGGCCCTCTGATGGTGACTGAAGCCCTGAAACCCTATTCCAAGGGGGGCCCTCGTGTCTGGTTTGTGTCCAACATCGACGGGACTCACGTAGCCAAAACCCTGGCTGAGCTCAAACCAGACACCACTCTCTTCATCATTGCATCAAAGGTATGTCTGATCCGAGCAATGGGGTGGCACTTGGTCTGCCTGGGAAGAATTCAGGCAGAACAGAGGTCTGTCCACAGGAAGATCTAGGTCAGGGACTCCTAATGGGGATCATTTCTAAACGGACCCGTTGGGATTCATTCTAAACTTGCAGTACAAGCTTGTGTTGCCACTGAAATACTTGGGGATTCATAAATCAAGAGCTGAACATTACTTAACCTAAACCAGATACATGAGCAGTTTCAGGTTGCCTGGGGTGTGTTTCTCAGTGAATGCAAGTTTAAGTTTTATTCACAACAGTTTGTTTTCCTGTACTTCTCTGGGGGTGGAGTGTAGGATCCTATGTAGTTATTTCTTTGAAATTCCAGGTCTTGTCTTATTCCTAAAGGACTTCTGGTCCTGTATGTTAAGTGCACTTGTGAAGTGTTCTTGCTTTTTTGCACTAATGAATTGCATGTAGTTAAAGACTCTCCATTTTGGTTTAGGATAGTAACAAAATACCTTCACTTAAATCACTTAAATGCTGAGTTCCTTGAGCACTATAAATACTAAGCTGCTTTACTTAGGAAGTACCAGCAGACTGTCTTTACCTCTTTAAGGTGACACTTATTTCTGATTACAGACTGAATAGCTACCTTTAAGTCTTGCCTTGCTAATAACTGACTCTGTAACCATAATTGCCAGTTCCATCTTCCTCTGAGGAATGGCTCTGTCTGAGCAGAGGGAAGGCATGGAGGCAAACTCCATAGTTATGTAACTTTGTAAAGCACAGTGGAACCTTTCTGCTGCTGAAGCCAATCTGCAGCAAATGAACATGTGCAGGGCTGGCCATGCCCTGCCTTGGTGCTCATTATCTAATCTTGGCAATGCTGCAGCTGAGCAACAACTTGTGGAATAACGAGGAAACTGCACAAAGTAATACTGATGGGTACTTGGAACAATTGAGTCCAGGGATCACGGTTCAAAGGCTTAGAAAACTGCCAGATTGAAAGAGTAACACTTCAGTTTCTGTTTGCCAGACTGTAGTTAGATAATTGGATACATTTGGAAGAGGATGAATGGCATTTTTTTTCCATAACAGGCTTGTGTTTCATAATGAAATATTTCTGGAGATGGATGAGAGTAGGTTGAATCTAGTGTTCACCCTTAAAGCTAAATTTTGATGGCTGAATAAATCAGAATGGTTGTAGATATTTGCAAAACTGCATGACTGAACTTCTGTGCACACTTCACGAAGCAGGAAAATGTTTTCCTCTAATCAGCAAACCAAAATTATGGCTAGAATCTTAGCAGAAATGAGTGGAAAAAGAAGGAATTGAAAACAAGAGGACAGTCCAGCTGGGTTATCCCATTTTGGTGCTCAATTAGGTCCTTTTTAGTTGAGGGGTAAATGTTTTTAGTAAAAGACTAAAGTAGAAAGCTTCAGTCTCAAAGTTTTGCAGAACAGTTGGGGAATAATTGTTCCAATTCTGAACATGCTAGTTTAAAACCAGATGGGTAAAGGGTGGGCTCAGTTCCGCGCACACTGTGTCTCACCTAAAAAATCCAATGCGCAGGCTGGAAGGTGTAAAGACCTTCCCCGGATCTTCGCTCGCGAAGACTGGCCATTATTATTAAATCCAGCAGCACTGGTGTTCACTGGATTAAAGAGCTGGCTTTTCCGTGCAGTCTGGCAGCAGCTGTGTTAGCACCTCTGGAAGTGCTCTGCTCTGATTGTTGGAATGTGTTTGTTTGAAGAAGTGTTTCACTCATCTCCTTGTGTTTGCTGTGCAGACCTTCACCACCCAAGAGACGATCACCAACGCAGAGACGGCCAAAGAGTGGTTCCTGCGTGCTGCCAACGATGTGAGTGACTGGTTGGGGCAACTGGCACTGCAGCAGCTTGTGCTTCTTGGTTCCTCCCTGGTCCTTCTGTGTGCTTTGGAGCAGAGCCAGCGACTGCCCAAACATGAGCTCAGCAAATGCTGTACTTAGATGGTTTCAGTGCTTTGTTAGTGACAGACTGTGTGCCCAATCAACGTGATAAACCCCCTCATTTTTCATCAGAAATGGTTGTCATGCACTGTTCCCCCAGATCCTCCCTGCTGGGTAACAGAGTGCAGTGTTTGCCTGGAAGCTGGCCAGAACTGTGGTAGAACTACTAATACCTGAAAAGTACAGTGTCTGTGGCATTGCCTTTTGCTTCTTGTCAAATCCTGAAAAACTGGAAATGAAGCTGTGGTTGGAGTGATGCTCTGACATTTCTGTGGCAGATGGCTGTGCTATGAATAGAAACCTTGTATCTGGCTCATGCTCTCCTGTTTCTAACTCTTACAAGGAAAAAAGCAGATACTGCGTCTTCAGGTAACTGAGATGGTCTTTACCCTGTTGAGTCAGGGTAGCTGTACTTAGTTTGAAATTCCTCATTACAGCACTGTTGCAGACAGCTTTGTTCACCAGAACACACACTGAAAGACCAAAGTCTGAATCTGGAGCTTGAGGTTTATCAGTAGTTCCAGTTGCCCTGATTGTTTGACCCTGGCTGGAAGGGTTGTGGCTGCACAGCCAGCTGCATGTGCTGTGAAGTGCTGGTGGTGGTTTCCAGTGGGAACTGGTGTGCTGCTCTCCAGAGGCGCTGATGGGAATGGGATCTTTGGGCATGCTGCCAAATCCCACACTCCCTGTGAATTACATGTTTTCAAGTTCATAACGCACAAACAACTGTAGATATTCTGTGTAATTGGTAGCAGATCAGCTTTATAAGCAGAAATTAAAATAATTAGTATTTTAGATCTAACTGTACTTTTATCTTTATTAAGCCTTCAGCTGTGGCCAAGCATTTCGTTGCCTTGTCTACCAATGCTGTAAGTATAACCAGTGGAGTTTTTTTTCCATGTACCTTTGAGGTGGCCTCACTTGATAGTCCAGTAAGGAAACCTATCTTTTAAGATACTTGAATACCAAATTTTAGCATTCCTCTTGAAAGGAAACCTTTTTTTCTACTGAAAGTAACTGAAACACTTCTAGAGCACTGAACTTCCATTATAGATGTGTGCTTTTTCTGCCAGAGCTTTAAATCTGGAATCAAGAGCTCTTATACTTGAAATGACTTGTTATTAATGAGTGTTACCTGTAATTGCTTAAGTATGTGTGAATGCAGTTATGTAAACAAACATTAGTCTAAACTCCAGGTGAGGGCTGAAGTGGAACAGGTAGTTTGAATAATGCTTCTGATGAACATAATGTACCTGCTGGGGTGTTTCATGTAAATGGATGAAGTGGAGAGATCTGTTAGGGGAGCACTGTGCAATCACTGGCAGGCTGTTGGGTGCTGTGCTGGGAAATGCACTTCTTCCATTAGAGTTCTGTTCACTGTAAAGTGAATGTCAGCCCAGCTCTGAACTAGATGGCCACTTATATCCTCAGAAAAGGAATGTATGGGATTGATTTTTAATAGTGAAGAGCGATAGATTTCTCTGGAAATGAAGGTGTATTTTTGTGACAGATGCTACGCATTTTCGCATTTTTAAAGTAGAGGATGTAGTCATGGAATTATGTATTCAGTAGGTACCTAACTTGTGTTTGTTTGCTGGATATAAAGCTTTTTAATACTGTTGGTTTTACTTATGGTGTTCTTACATGCTTTTTTGTGTGTGGTTTTTTTTTTTTTTTGTTTTAGCCTAAAGTTAAAGACTTTGGAATTGACCCAGAGAACATGTTTGAGTTTTGGGATGTAAGTAAATGTCTAATGTTATGTGGTAGATGTTAACTGTTAGCATTTTCTGAAGCAAGTAAAGTGATTCCAACCTGATGTCTGGAAACTGCCAAAGTACCTAAATTATAGTAGTTGTATTCAGTGCACTGAAACACCTGAAAACTCTTAACTAAAGGCAAACTGGGAACGTGTCGGGCAAGCAAAACTCTTGGCCATGACATTAAAATCCTGCAGTCAAAGGTCTGAAGAGGAGCCTTCTGTGTTCTTGGCTGCCCAGTCAGCTGTGGAGTAACAGGAGATGCGAGTCTTGGCTTATTGCTTGGTGCAAGCAGTTATTATAAGCTGTGACATTTGACTGGTGGTGTGGGCAGTGTAAAAGCTGGGCCTATAAAGGTCAGACATCAGAAATGGGAGCCTAATTTGATATTTGTAGCAGATGCATATTTAAAGTATACTGCCCTTAGTCTTGTCCTTATACTTAATTAGAAACAAGTTGACTTGTCTCACTGAGTAATTGCCTGACAAACCAGGTTTTAAAGCTGCTGTTCAGAGACTTTCTAGAAACGTTCCCTAGCTAGGGTCAGAATCTTGCTGAAGCAGGCTTTACCTACTGAGGGGTGATATTAGGAAAGCAGTTAATACAAGCTGCAGACTTTGGAAGTGAACTGGAATCAGGGGATCTGGCTCAACAAATGGGATATAAATTGGACAAATAGGAGAACTTCAGACTTTGAAAAAATGCACACCTAAGGGGTAACCTTAGGGGGCTACTGCGAGGTGCAGGTTCCCTTGACTGTGCCATACAATATGTAGTCAGCTGCAACCAGAAAGAATATTGATTTTTGATGTCTAAACACGTGCTGCTGTTTTCTAGTAGTTTAAGTTGGAATGTCAAAGCTTTGCACTCGTCCATCTAAACCAATGTCTTCGTTTGCAGTGGGTTGGGGGCCGTTACTCTCTCTGGTCTGCCATTGGTCTCTCCATTGCCCTGCATATTGGTAGGTATTCCTGGGAGCTCACCCTGCCAAGGATTAGTCTGTTTGCTTCAGGAATATAACTGTGGAATGCTTTAACAATAGTGGATTGTGGATCAGGTTTGGGGTGAACATTTATCTGGTCTACTCTGAGCAGTTGGATATTTGTGCTAAAAAAGTCTGTGATGCAATAGAAATGTCAGTATTTTAGTACTGCAAATGCAGTTCTGGAAATTACCTGTATTTGGGTACAAATAATCAAATGGCATCTCTTTAGTCACTTGCATAGCCAAAAGTGACTGATTTGTGTAAAGCCCTGTAAGTGTTGAAAACCAGACCTTGCAACTGCCATTCTAAGCTTGCAGTAGGGTGTTTAGTACCTGTAAATACTCACTAAACATCAAAATCCTGTGTCTCCAGTGCTGCATATGAGCTCTGCTCAGTATTGTGAACTATCTCCTCCTCCCACTAATTCCTTGTGTTCCAGTACTTACTCATCCTGGCTACGGAGCCTGGTGGTTACATTTGTCCCCTCATCACTGCTTTCAAATGTTTAAAGCCTGAAACTATAATGTCACTTGCTTTTCTAAACAAAAGCTAGAATTCCCTTAGACTGGGGTTAAAAGAATAACAGTGGGTTTGGTGGCTTTGGAATTATATGAATAGCGGTTGTCATGTGTAGAAAAACCTATGATAAGAGCAAAATAAACCAGTCAGGCACTGACTGTTTTGTCTGCAATAATTGGTTATTGCTGCTGTCAGACAGATCTGGTGCTGACTGCTGACATGCCAGTGTATCTGCACTTCTTCCTTAGACTCTTCATCTCCCACAGCTGCCTTCTGACCATGGGTAGAGCTGCTGCTTTGAATGCCAAACACTTCACCTCCTAATTCCTACATAAGAATCAGGATTTCTGTCTTTGCAGGGAAGGAAGCTAAAGTTAGTTAAACTATTCCTTAGTGAAAGCAAATGGAGGTTTAAATACCCCAATCATAAAGCAAACTCAGGTGAATTGTTGAGAGAACAGAGAAGGCAAGGGGGGAGTCTTTTTCTTTGAGAATCTTACTAGAGCTGTTTCTCCTCAGACCAACACAGAAATCCCTGTTTTGAAATAGCAGCCTTGCCCTGTTTTCTTGGGGGATGTCTCTCCCACTGGGGCTGTGAAGTGACTAAATGTTCAAACTTGCTGAAAAGTATATAGCCTTAAAGCAGACTCTGTATCAAATGCCTCTGTTTTCCTTCTGGTTGTTCATTCTGTCTGAATGGGGATTTTAGGCAAAGGTTTTTTGAATTATGTTTCATGAAGCTGGACTTGCTCTGAAGTCCAGGCTTAAAGCATAAGTAAATGCCTGGCTTAGGGAATGCAAATGTCAGGAGAAGTCAAAGTACAGCTTTTAAATTAAGTACAAAAAGTACAGCAATTAGTAGTTTGGAATCTTGCTGCCTACAAGGAATCAAAAGTGTTTTACAATTGTCTCTACAAGAAAAATCAAGTTTGAGTTGTAATAGTAAATACAAACTGACTCTTTTCATTGTTAGGTTTTGACAACTTTGAGAGTCTGCTCGCAGGAGCCCACTGGATGGTGAGTGTGGAATGCCTGTTCCAGATCTGTTCCTCTTTGAGTTGTTAGGAAGGGAACTGAGGGCAGGTTGGTTTCTAAAGTTCGGCTCCCCAGGTCCTCTCAGTGCTCCTAAAACAACAGTGCTTGAGAAACTCTCCCTGAATCACAGCAGCAATCAAACCAACATAAGAGCTGGGAGGGGTGCCAGTTGCTTTATCAGAAGTGTCAGTTCTCCCCTGTGTCCCGCAGGACAAGCACTTCCACACCGCCCCCCTGGAGAAGAACGCGCCTGTCCTGCTGGCCATGCTGGGGGTGTGGTACATCAACTGCTACGGCTGCGAGACCCACGCCCTGCTGCCCTACGACCAGTACATGCACCGCTTCGCTGCCTACTTCCAGCAGGTAGGGAGTGCTCCCAGGGGGATAACCCTGGCACATAACCCTCTGCCCTGGCTCTGGGACCTGAATGCACATGCTGGTTAAAGCTGCAGTCCCTTCAATTCGTGTAATCAGTGCCTTAAAGAGCCTGGTGCCAAGATTGATATCAGCTCGTTTGCTCAGTTACTTTCAAGATGTTTTCCTCATACCTCCACTGTCTTAAGTTAAGCAACTGTATCCCTGATGCTTAGAGAATGTCTGTAGTCAAGTGGTGTCCATTATAGCTGAAATATGTCTGGGAGCTTGTCCTGCTACTGAGTGATCCCCCCCTTCCCCTCTTTCAGGGTGACATGGAGTCTAATGGCAAGTACATCACCAAGAAGGGCTCCCGTGTGGACTACAACACCGGCCCCATCGTGTGGGGCGAGCCTGGCACCAACGGGCAGCACGCCTTCTACCAGCTCATCCACCAAGGTGAGCTGAGAGCAGGCCCTGCTGCATCCTGCAGTTAAAGTCTGAATGGCTGCAGAGTCAGCACTGGTTTGGAGGTTGGGTTCTTACCTAGCCTAGCACTGCATTGTTATGGGGCTCTTAATTAGTGGCTTTTGGAGGCTGCAAGATGCAGGTTTTACCTACAATAAGGAGAGTCAAATAAAGCTGCAACTACTGAGCTATGTTGTTACTTCCCTCTGCTGTTAATAGTAAAAAAGTAAAAAAGCTCTTTTATAAAACTTTCAGAAGTGACTGAGACTGCCAGTAACTCTGAAAATGGGTGAGAATTGAGGATTTTATAGGACTTTGCTGTTGCAGAGTTATTAACCTGGCTTTTCTTACAGGAACTCGCATGATTCCCTGTGACTTTCTGATCCCAGTGCAGACCCAGCATCCCATCAGAAATGGCTTGCATCACAAGGTAGGAAGTTCTTTGTCAGGGCACCCATATTTCTTGTGGCTGAAGGCATTGAAGCTTATTTGGTGCTTCAGTGTGCAATGTTTCCAAATGTCCCTTTGGAACTGTACACGTGGGCTCTGTCAACATTCACAACACATTTGAAATTATCTAAATCATAATTGCATGTTATCTGTAGTAGGCAATACAGTGGTGTGTTTGTTCTTGAAGAAATTACAGCCACAGTTCTTGAGGCAGCTAAAGGTGTGTCCTGTGGGCCAACTGAAGCTGGAAAGGGTTGAGCAATTAAGTATTTGGAGGGAAAATTCTTTGTAGGAGTTGCAAGGAGTGTAGTTCTTGCAGAGTAGGAAGAAATAAGCTCAGGCCTGATGTGACTCTGAGGAAGTTTTCAAGTCTTAAGCTCTAGGATAAAACTTAATCAGTGTAATAGCGTGGTTGGGGTGGTGGCTTCTACACAGATGTTTTTAACCTGTACAATCTTGAATTTAATGTATTGTCCAACTGATTTTCACTGAACTAAGAATTTTATTGAACTTCCACAGCTGGAAACACGTCCAGGTCTACCACTTAATACATACTTCAGAAAAAGCATGTTTCCTCACTAAACTTCAGTCGTGTCTTGTTTCAGATTACACAATTGGAATGGCACTTGTAATAGTAACTTTTTTGTCAAGTAACAACAAGTACAGGTGGAAGTTTGAGTATGACTTTGCAAAAGAAGGGGAGTAAAGGTTTCATTTGACTGTGGATACAGTAAGAGTTTATCTTCAGTGTAAACACAAGGGAATTTGCAGGCTAACGTTAGAGGGGGAATAGGAAACTAGAAACTTGTATTGCCTTGGTAGGGATTGCATCTTAGTCAGTCACCTGTTGGTTACCTGTGACTGATCTCTGCACCTGGATTTCCATAGCATGGAACAAAAGCATAGGCTATACTGAGGTGTGTTTTTGTGTGTACCTGCTAGATCCTTCTGGCCAACTTCCTGGCCCAGACGGAGGCGCTGATGAAGGGCAAGACGGCCGAGGAGGCTCGGAAGGAGCTGCAGGCGGCGGGGCTGAGCGGGGAGGCCCTGGAGAAGCTCCTTCCCCACAAGGTACTGGGCCCTGGCCCATGGGCTCTGCTGCTGGGGGGGCACAGGGGGCACTCAGGGCAGGTGCAGTGAGCCCTTGGGCTAAAGCTCCCTGCTCTGGAGCCTTTTGGGGCATTTCAAGAGAGATGAGTTATCTCAGCCTTGGGATATTGCCCTGTTGTGCTGCTTGCAGCCAGCAGTGCTGCTTGGAGAGGAGTTTGCTGTTGTGTGTAATAACACATGGAAGTGATACAATTTTATGGCTGAAGGTGTTAGTCCTTAGAGCTTCCAGGACTTTTTTACTGCTAATGCAAATAGTTCAGTGAGAAAATAGATAAGTTTCTGATCTAAGTTTTAAAACAAATTAGATGACAATGTAACTCTTGTTTTGAAAGGTCTTTGAGGGAAATCGACCAACCAATTCCATCATGTTTACAAAACTCAACCCATTCACTCTGGGAGCCATCATTGGTGAGTAAATAGATCTCTCATCTGCGAATGTTTATTAAGACTTTCTGATCAAGTTTATTGATAAATCTCTTTCTGCTTACAGCCATGTATGAGCACAAGATATTTGTTCAAGGAGTTGTCTGGGATATTAACAGTTATGACCAGTGGGGGTAAGTTTCCTTGTTCTGTTACTTCTGTATTTATAGACTGTGGTATTTCTTAATCTATCCTGACTTAGAGAAAAGACAACAAAAAAGTGTCATACTTGGAGCAAATTATTATAGGATAGTTTTAAGTGAAAACGTTTTCTGGGGATAACTCACTTTGTGTCCTTATTCAGTCACACACAGTGACTTTGTAGATACAGTTTTAGCTGAGGACCTGTGCTTAGTTGGATTTAGAAGATTCTTATGAATGCAGAAAAGGGGCAGTAATGAGGATGGTACTCGAGCAGGCTGAAGACAAGCTCTGAGAAGTAGAAAGGAAAAATATTTTCCCTTATAGAAAGTGAAAAGGAGTTATTTTACCTCTAGGAACATTTAGTAGGCAGTTTAAATGGTGTCTGTTAAGGCAAAGACTGACCACCTCTGAGTTCTCCTACATGGAGAGACAAGAACATTCCTGGCAGAGCCCCCTGTGACTGAGGGCTGTGGAGCTCCATGTGCACAACAGCATCTCTGAGGAGCTCGTCACTGGAATGGACAAACTCCTCACAATGGAAGATTTAATCAGGAGCTATCAGATGGCTTTTAATCTGTAGCAATAGGAACTCTACAACATCTTGTATGAATGCTGAGGTGGAGGGATTGGGAAAAAGGTAAGATTTTTCAGGTGCAGCCTGCCTGCGTTGTGAGGGCTTATTTTGAAGATACATTTGCTCTACAGATGTAGAGTATCAGTTTACACTAAGCTGTCTTCTTAAAGGCTGAAGGGTAGCCTTTGTATGTGTATTCTTAGAGCTGTGTTCTTTAAAATATTGTAGTAGAACCTGAGAAGGGAACGCTGTCAAGTACAAGCTGTACTACTGTAAACTCTGAAATCAGGAGTAGGAGAGGAGTAAGTACAGCTTATACTGCCACACATGAAAACCTAGAATGGCATCCCAAACTGTGGAATGTGGGGACGCTGTAGGACCAGCCTAGTTTCTTACAGCAGTTGGGCTATCCCAGGTTCTTATCCTGTGAGGCTGTACCTCCTGGATAGCCCTCTGTAGTGCAGGGGATGCTTCCAGGCCTGCAGCTCAGCTGCTGTTTATTGTCTTGGTGCCATAAATTGGTGTTCTGAGCAGTGTCATGGTCAGCAGTGAACAGGAGTGAGCTGAATGCCTTCCCTGGGGCAGGCTGCATAACACAAGTGAATACTGAGGGGAAAGGACTCTGCTTAACTTCTAAACCAAAACATTCTCTTGAGACATCCTGTAATTTGAGCTGGTTGTTCAGCTGAGCAACTGTGAGAACTCCAGTTGTTTATGAATGGCACTGAGTTAAATACTTTTGTCAGTAATTTGTGAGGGGAGAAGCATCATAGTGTTCACTTGGAAATTAATTGTACTAGCATATATTTTTAATGTCAATGGCTTATAGTAAATACTCAAGTTGTTAGCACTAATGTCTTTCTGCTTTTCAGTTCACTAATGCTTTTCTTTCTTCTGCTTTTATAAATGCAGAGTTGAGCTTGGAAAACAACTTGCCAAGAAAATTGAGCCCGAACTGGAGTCAGATGCTCCAGTGACATCTCATGATAGCTCAACAAATGGGCTCATCAACTTCATCAAAAAACACAGAGCCTGAAAGGAAGTACTTGGAGGACATCGACAATCTCACCACCGAATACCCAAATCTCTTGTAGTTGTGCTTTTTTAGCCACTTCTAACAAAAATAGCACTTTACAGACGTAGCTTCTTCACTTGTTGCAGTTAATCTTGTTGCGTCAAGTGTTACAAATGGAAACTAGTTTTGTGAAACCCTGAGATTGTCTAGTTGCTTTCTATTTTTGTGGCTGTTAATCTGTAAAGTGCAGCTGGTATATTCCTCAATTCTTACCCCTCAACTTCCTTAAAGATGATCACCTACCGATGTTAGAAAATAAAAGGTATGATGGATGAGTAAAACTTCTTCACTCTTTAAAAGTGCAACCTTAGTAACATTTGCCTCACTCACTGTGTAAGGTTCTTTGAAGCCAAGTAAACTAATTTCTGTCTCTTTGGACTGGTTCTGCTGTAAGCTGGAAACTAGAATGTGCTCAGAGAATCAGATCTACAGCTGTAGGTTGTTCAGGTTAGACATTTCATGCATTTGAGCAAGATACAGATTTATTTTTTTTTTCCGAATGCTACTGTGAAAATGAAAGTTTACTGATGTTTGGTAAAAGTTTTCATGTTTTGTCTGTAAGCTATGTGGACAGCTATCCAAAAAAAGAAAACTCCTGGATTGACTTATACCAGTTTTCCAGAGTTTGTGAAGCAAAAGGTTGGGATCACATGTGGAAGAAGTGTATTTTTGGTATCCTAGAGGGGCAGTTTCACACTCTTAAATCAGCATCACTGTCCAACAACAACAAAAAAAATAGAGAAACCTATTTGTCAACAAGTTGTTTATCCTCTTTTGTCCTCTACTACTGTTACCCCCTCTTTGCTAGTGGACTGGCATGCTCTGGCCTATTGTTCTGTAACACCTTTAATAAAGGTAAGACACAAGCATTGAAAGGACACTGTGGTTCTCATGCTCCCAACCCTTCCTGACAAATGCCCATCTTTGCACAGCTTTGCTGGCAGGACCCCCTCTTTAATCTCACTGATATGTCACATACTGCGTTATGGATTATGATCAGCTCTATCAAGCAAATTTTTCTACATAAAATGTGATTTCAAAAAGAGAACCCACTAGAGGGAAGCATCATGTTTTCTTTCACATGAGGTTTTAAAACCTCTCATCCATTTGTGCACAGCTCCCTCCTCTTTCTGGAGTGGTCACGGTGAAGGGAGTGCCTTTGGCATCTCCCTGCTGTGATGTGCGGGCCATGGAGACCAGGCGAGAGGAGTGCGGGAGCCCGCCCTTTTTGTGCGGGAGCCCGCCCTTTTTGTGCGGGAGCCCGCCCTTTTTGTGCGGGAGCCAGCCCTTTTTGTGCGGGAGCCCTTTTTGTGCGGGAGCCCGCCCTTTTTCTGAGGGAGCCCTTCCCGCGCCGCCATTGCCGCGCGCGGAGCGCCCCCTGGCGGCGGGAGGGCGGCCCCGTCCCCTCAGGGCCCCCCGCCCTGGCCGGCCCCGCCCGGCCCGCGGTGTCCCCCAGCGCTGTACCTGCGGCTGCGAAATAAGCAGTCACGTCTCGCCGACTCATCGCCAAAATCGCCAGAACTGTTCACGGAGCAAATGGTTGCTCTGTGCCGTAACGCCTCGGGGCTGTACTCAAAGACGGAATAAAAGCGGTAAAGAGCTTTTTTCTCCTGGCCATGAGGGGCAGGACCAGAGGGGCCACAAGTAACGATGTGGCTGCATTCTGAAGATGAAATGGCATAAAACCTGCGTAGGGTTCAGGAACCCGCTGTCAGTGGCAGAGCTGGAGGCCAAGGGAGCAATCTCGGCGTTCCCTGGGCCCGTCGTCGCTACCAGCCCCGGAGAGGGCGCAGTGCCCCGGCCTGAGCTGGGGCGGCCTCGGGCAGGACAGACACGGGCGGCTTGCGGCTCGGTCCTTTGGGCTCCAGTGAATTGGTTTGAATCCTTCTCTTTAATATCGAGCCTGTCTTGATACCAGTTCCGGCAAGAATGAAACTGATTTCTTCATCAGAAAATAATCTTCATTCAGATAATAATAAAGTCCAGCCCATTCAGTTCTAACTGGGAAACTGTGATGGGCACGGCTGAGCTCTCTGAAAATGTGTTGTCTTCTTACAGGAGAGAACGAAAGGTGCCTGCAGTAAACAGAAACTTGTCAGACCCGTAAAATGGCACACAATCCCTAATCCTCCAATCCCTAATCCTCAAACCAGTGCACTTGCTACAAGACACGTTCCTCTTGAAGGGCTCTGAGGAAACACTGTGTGGAGATGCTTTAGTCAGTGTAAGTAGTTAATTTGATGATATATGTATAAAAAAAGCAATCTCTACACTTGTAATGCTAACTTTGTAACTGTAATAGCTTTTTCAACATCAAAATTAATCCATGAATGTATCTTAAGAGTTCTTGAGAAGATAATTACTGTATTCAGGGAAAAATTCTAATATTTTTAAAGAAAATTACGCTAAATTCATACTGTATTCCCACTGGACATGTACTTAATATAGACTGTGTGGGTTTGTGTGTAAAGGAGGAATATGTTAGCATAGTAATGGATCTTAAAAAAGCACCTCCAGGAGCTATGACTGTGGTGAAGACATCTTCCAGTCCTTTTGTTTAAAGAGAATTTGGCAGGAATAATCAATCAGTGATCTCCTTCGACCCAATTCACAGTGATCTGATCTGCTGGGATGTTCTAATTTCCAAACTATCCTGCACTACATGCTGAGTTCTGCAGACTCAATAATGGTAACAGTGGGAGCTTAGGCTGCTTGAAGGAGGATAAGAAATAAAACTTCCTAAGCTGCACCAGGGGCTTCCCTTGAACCTCTTGCTGTTCTGGAGAAATGAGAAGCATTTACAGATCTGCAGTGCTAGTGCTTAAGTGGAGCGGTCATGAGTCTGTCTAGAGAAGTCAAATAAAAAGAAGAAAACTTCATTCATTCCTTTACCTTTTCTCAGGTAAAATTTTATATTTAGCTGTTCCTGAAAATATCCTGCTTTGGCAGTTCCTGCTGTTAACTTTTGTTAAAAAGAATTGGAGTTTGGAGAGTTAGGTAGATGATAGTATATGATAGTCAAGTTGGGAGCAATAAAGTTTTGCATAAATCTGGTTTTGGGAAGTTTCAGTAGGATGTTGGCGGGTGTGCATCTTGTCAGCTCCTCTGGAGATAAAAGTGAACCAGCTCACAGGCAACGTTAATGAAGTATTTTAGGGATTACAGGGTGTGGCAAACAGAAAGCAGTTTGGCTTCCAGAGAGAAGGGTTAAACAGCTTGGATTGATGAAAATTCAGCAGAGGAGCACGCTTTGGGCTGCTCTCTCAGTCAGATTTCAGTGCTACGAACTGTATTGCTCTACCTCTTCTGAAAGAGGCTTTTCAAGTTTTCCTTAGGTTTGTGGCACATGGGGATTGTCAAAATAGGTCAGATAAAAATTAGTCCTAAAGCTAAGCATTTCCAGATGGCTGGTAATGTCCAGATAATTTTTTTATTGTGCTCTTAATTTTTCCTTTGTGTTCCTTCTTCACGTTGAGTTTTCTGACAGAAGAAAAACATAAAATCCCAATGTGGTCTTTTAAAACAACCGTTCCCAAACCTGCTGGATGGAGTTGAAATTTCAGAAAGGATACTCTCAAAAATACTTGTAGTCCAGTTGTTTTAGTGTGCAGAGCTGGAAGCCGGCAGCGTTCAGCTGGCAAGGAGCTGGCCTGAGCCCATGCATCTGGAACACTCTCAAGTATGTGGCAATTCCTAGAAAGGCTGAGCTCTGCCTTTCATCAGCAGCAACAGCCGCAAGAGGCAATATCTGCTTGGAAAATCCTTCACCCAGGATAAAAGCAGAGCATACTGTTTGTTGCTGGAGAGATTTTGAGTGCTAGTGAACTGTAAAAAAAATAAAATAAATCTTGAGTAGCAATTCCAATAGTTTTTTGTTGAATATTCCTGTGTGGGTTTGGACTAATTAAAACCACCACTTTTGTCTTTGTAGATTAGTAACAGAGATAAGCAGTGAATTTGACAAGTTCAGACCTTGAGTATGACTTGAGACAGACCAGGGCAGGAGGACAGGACGAGAGGGGCCAACACTTTTCCCCCTTGCATCAGGACAAGAGGAAATGCCTCCAGTTGTGCCAGGGCACATTTAGATTGGAGACTGGGAAAAATTTCTCCCCCAAAAGGATTATTAGGTATTGGAACAGGCTGCCCAGGGTAGTGATGCAATCATCATCCCAGGAAGTGTCCAAAGCATGTGCAGATGTGGTGCTTAGGGGCAGGGTTTGGTGGTGCAGCTGGCAGTGTTAAGGTTGAACCCGATGATCTTAGAGGCCAGCCTTAATGATTCTCTGATCATCTAGAGCCTCACTGGACTTCTCCACAGCTGATTATCAGTGTTGATCTTCAATAGCTTTGGAACACGAATTGCATCAGTTTGAGCTGGCCAAGTTAAAGCACTCTGTTGCCTACGTCATGGTCAGTTCTCAGGTTGTATACCTGCCCCCTGTAAGCACAGTGGATCTGGGGATGACAAAGAAGTGAAAGAAATGGGGACTTCAGCCACTCCAATTTACAGGGTTAGGGTTATGGGCCAAGGTCCATGGGTACCAGCTTGGGTCAAACCCTGCTTAGTTATACTGCCCCTGGATTGAGACTTTACTGAGGAGAGTTATTGTCTTACAGTTCATAACTAGGATTCCACAGACCAGCTAAAGTGTCTCACTGGCTTCAGGAGATGTTGGTCTGTGCCTTGCAGTATTAACTGCAGTCATGGGGGGGGTTGGGTGGCCTGGATTTATGTGGTGAAGATATCTGGGACTGCTCCAACCTGGTTACAGCTCCACCTCCCCACAGAGTAAGAGTTAAAACCAGAACTCTGCACTAAGAGGTGCACGCAAGGAACTTACAGTGCAGCCTGTGGAGTCTTTCTAACCTGGGCTCACAACTCTTCCAGAGGTGAGCAGGATTCAGTAATAAAAGGCACCAATTTTGTTTGAAGTATGTACCTTTGGAGCTAAAGTAAAGTCATAGGAGAGGAAGGATGGAAACTACTTGACGTAGAAGAGGACCAAGAGTAGTGCCCTTCCTGGCTAAAAACATTTTGCCATTGAATAAGTTTAAGCTGGAACAAAAATGAATGTGGTGTTGTCCTTGAAACTGATGATACTTTTAGGAAGAGAAAGCATATATAGATATTTAAAATAGACATAGGGGTTTTATACATAAAGAAATACAATAAACTCATTTTCCCCTTTAAATCTTCAGAGCTCTTCCTTGTGGGAGATACTGGCATTCCCTTCATATTGGGTGGATTTACTACAAGGAAAGTTTGAGGAAACTTAAAAGTGTCCGGTTTTATTTAAAACCTTGGTGGTCTTTAACGGCTGCCCCACAGTTCCAGCCTGGTACAAACTTAAACAGAGCTCTTTGTTGCTCTTGAATGTGACATAATCCTTTCATCTGGCGTCCTGAATGAAGTATGCACATGGCTTTTTTGCTACCCCTGCTGGGCTGCCTTGTTACACCTTCAGAGCAAAGCCCCCCCAGTAAAAAAGCTTGGGCTCTGTCATCCCCCCTAATGCCAATAAACAACAGATAAGTATGGCATCTTTTGGCTTTAAAATGCTGCCCCTCGTTAAACTTGTGTGTTGAGGAAGGAAACGGCTCCCCACATCATTGTTTCTCGCAGATACAGAGCACATTTTTTTGTTGTTTGCATGTTTGCTAATTTGAAGCTCTTTGAAGAATCCTACCGGGAGATCAAAGACAAAAGATTAGAACGTTTTTAATAAAGTGAAGAAGGATCAGGTTAGATCAAAGGGACAAGCTGACAGGAAATAAGTAGGTGCCGTTGTTGGCTGACACTTGCATGCTGTAGGGTGATTTCTGTGTTAATGTGAGGTCAGAAGGAGGATTGCTTTACATCTTATTGTCTCCAGAC